TTATCACAAAGTCCACTAATAATGGAAACAACAGCAATCTTACCTGTATCATCGCCACCTGACGAACTCTGCGACAGAACAGCGCTCGACGACGATCGAACAGAATCGAACATGCTTAGCCTGGATCTTCGAACCTCGCCGTTCTTCTTTTTGTTTTTACCTTTTGCACTCCTACCTCGATCTTGCACCATGCTGTTATCCGTTTGCCAAGCTGTGCTACTACAAAGGATCAAACTGAATACTCCAATGAGAATTTTCACTGGCCGTCTGTTTTGGTTCGTGTCGGTTCACTTTGACCTCCCTGCGGGAGTGGGGCTAGGAAATCTTTGTCCCCTACTTATATTGCATAGACTCTGGGCCTGACTGGAACCTTCCAAATTCAACTCAACCTTTGACATTCTTTATCATGAGAATGGCGAAATACTTTAGAACTATTGACGCAAGGTTTGGAAACGTCATAAAGACAGGAATATATTTTAATAAGCTGAGAGTTGTAAGTGGCATTAGCAATAGGATCTAATTTAGAACCTCACAGTAGTAATGCTATGACTTGATTTGAAAAAGAAAAAAAAAATCGTAATGGAGGTGGGGAGAGGGGACAAAAACTCAATGCGAAAGTTGTGCTCATTGGTACATCACACATAAAACGGAATAGAAAATTATGCACCGTGGAGTATTTCTCAGATTTCACTCATGCACGCTATGCAACGATGAGACTTGAACACAGACGTGCAAATCCGCCACTGGAATTCTATACCATAACGAAATTTTCCTTTCTTTAGAAATTTCTGCATGTGTGAAATTCCTGTGATGATATTTTTTAATCCTGAAACGAAAAGGGACCTTCCCTTGCTTACAAAAGATGCCCGCCAAATGAGAACCAGAAGAGAGCCAAGTATGCGTGACTTGAAAGAACTTTCGAAAGGACTTTCGAAACAATGGGAAATTTGCAAAAGTGCTCGAAATGTTTTATTTGCTTTGAAGCTGGCGGCGGCCGATGCTTTTTGTTCAGCCGCGCTTTTTCGCGAGGCTTGTCTGGTGAGCGCTGAAGAAGCGATCGCGTTCGGCACTCGCGCCCGCTAAAGTCAGCTGAGTACGGCTGAGTCATAAGTAATCATAACCGTTCAGTAATTAATGATTTGAAAGGTCATCTCTCCTTGATTTAAACGAAGTATCAACTTGTACCTGAGTCTATGGTTGAATCGTTGTTTTCTCTCAGTTTTTCTGCATACGGTGGGAGTAAATGCTTTTAATTTTTCGCAACTAGGTTGGAAAACGGAAGTGGCTTTTTAATCAAATTTAACCGGAATTCGACGCGACGATAATGGACACGAAAACTTGAAATTTATCCAGAGCATTCTTAAATAACTTTCTTTTCGCCTATGTAGTATTTGGGTGTTTAGATTTTATCATCTTCAACTACGCCATCCGCCTTCATTCCAGCAATAGGACGAAAAATGACTGTTGCGTGCCAGTTGTGACGTCTTTCCTGCTTCGGCACAAGTCCACCCGCTAAGTGGATAGTGTGAAGAGGAGCTAGGAGTCTTAATGCACTAAGCGGGTAATATAGATGTACATGCAGTCACACATCTTCTTCACGAGCCGAGCCAGGCAACGGGGGCAAGATTTGTTATTATTTTTTCTTTGCTACAAAGCAACACCGTACAAAAGTTTTAAGTCTGATTAGATAATTAAAATTATCTCTTAGGAGTCTTAAAGCTGATCCATTAAGTCATCGCTAAAAATAAGGATTAACTACGGAAACTCCAAAATCCTTGCCACACGGTAGAGAAGCGACATCCAATTCCAGCAAAGTTCACAACGTGAAATGGAAAATAATTGTTTTGAATTTCTTTTTATCTTGCGAACAGGCTCTCATAAGCGCCGCGGCACAATCGGCTAAGCCGACGGAAATTCGAGCGCGCGAGAAGTCTGTGAGGGGTCTGGGCGCTGCTTCTGTCAGTACTCTGATGAGAGCCCACTAGCAGTTTAACTTCTTTCACAATGAAGATTGATAGGAAATTTGAAATTAGCTGTCAGTTAAAACTGCAAAAGATGCTTATGTTATCAATGAAGTTGTAAAGTTCGAACAACTGTCAGAGTCCAGTGCAAGGTTTATGTTTGGGAGCACTCAAGCTGAATCCTTTCCCAACTTTAAAGGTTGCATTAGCGTCTTAACGTCTTGCTGCCAGAGTTGACGGTGATGATAGACCATGATCAGGCTAACTTTAGTTTAACGACTTTAATTTACCTTAACGGCGTCAGTTATATATTTTAAGACTCCCCCTAGTCCAATGAACCAAACTTTCAAACAAATCTCCCGTTTTTTAAGTAATGTTTTCCGTCAGAGTCACAAAGAAGCAAAAATGTTATCCTCCTCCCTTGGTTTTTTTTTATTCTCACCAGTCCACACGAATGCATTGTTCGACTGAAATACATTTTGACAGGTTTTGAATCATTTTCGTCCATCGTTAGCACTAAAGGGGTTAAAATGCTGATGGAAGCTTTGTCGCATTACAGCTCTGTTTTCATCTATCTACTTTAGAATTAGAAGCTAATGTATGGCAGGCAGTGTGAAGGAGTTGATTTTGGATATTGAGAGCAAAAATTTTAGGACCGGTTATTTAAAACAGGTCTCAACCAAACAGTGGTTTTATACAAGCAGTGGAGGGCTTTACATATTCTCTGTAAAAGGGGTTGTTTTCAAATAAATGTCCTTCCACTGTTAGCTTTTGGCCCTTGTGACGCTGTTCCAAGAATAAATGTTCATAGAAAAGATTCAGCTAGATTCAAAATAGTTTAGAATGGAGTTTTGTTCAACAACAGCTACACTTTGTTTAAATGACCTGGTATAATGAAACATATAATGTTTATTTTTTGTATCCAATACATTCTGAACATTAATGATTTCGAAAAAAACCATCTTTTTTGAAATTTTCAATTTTGTTTTGAGATTGTGGATTGGGCTTATTTTTCGTCCCAGAAAATGGGAATGGAGTATTCTTGACAACTATTCTCTGTAAGAGGGTGACGCTTTAAAGCACGGTTCTAAATTCAGCTTATAATAGAGATTAGTCACTGATTCAATTTATTAAAGGTAATCTTACCTTCGTATTTAGGGCTCTAGCTCCCCCCCTCCACCCTTCTCCATAGCTTTCGAGTTGTGTCTAATCATAGGGGATAAAAAGATCACAACACAAAGTTTACAATAGTTTACAAAATTTATTCCACACTGATAGGTTTGGGAGTTCTGGCTCTATTAACAAGTCCTGGTAAGTTGAAATTTTAACTGCTAAGCCTGATTCTTCATCTTCAAATTTTGCTGTGCAATACAACTTATTAACAGTTCATTTGACCGGACAAATAGCAGGCCCTAGATATGTACAGAAGTTCGCTAGATATGTACCAAAGTTCGCTAGTATTGACATCAGTTGTAGAAACCTAACTAAACCTAATTGCCCGACTCGGGCAATTTCAGCAACTTTCGAAAACACGCGTGATATTAATCCTAACTTTTACTCGGCCCCATGCGATTCCCTATACTTATATACCCGCTCGTTCTTCTTGAAAAAAGGCTTACTCGTCTGAAATGGAACTGAGAACTTTCGTCCCCCCTTCAAGACGGTCTCAATGTGGTCATTCGTCAACCGTCAAAAAATACAAGATTTTTACCGTCGATCAGCTTTCCCACAAACTCTTCCTCAAAACGAAGCATCATCCTATTGTTCGGATCAAACCATACCGATAATCCTTCATTTTCACCAGAATTTTTCAGAAGTTTTAGTGTAGATTGTAGGAGAAAAAGCATCTACTAAAAGTATTTAAAACCTTGATTCTTAAATTAAAGGCAGCCAGAGGCAGTACCTATTATCAACGGAATTCAGCTAAGGCTATCTAGGTATACTACTATCAAATTGGATCAACATTACAATACTAAAAATATTTGAACTCTTGATTCTTTATGGGAGACCATACATGCTTCTTTCACAAAGCTAAGATTATTATTAAAGTTCTTATGAAGACGTTGTTTTAGAAGGTTCTTAACTGGTAAGTCATGTGATTTGACCGACGAAATAGTGTCTTCTCACACTGTTTAATGCAGTGTTATCTGCTCTATAGACAGTCAAAAATTAAAATTGGATTAACGACGTACTTAAGTCGAGACTCATGGTCGTCAAAGAGTTCACTCTTGTAACGCCCAAGGGCCACTAAGATTGGTACACTGCGGTGGCCATTGCCCAATCTCGAGGTCAGAGTCTTTCTAGCTTCTTGTCAGCGGTTGGTCGTCTGGCGTATGACAAAGCGCGTGCAGGTATCGAGAGCACGATACTTTTCACTAGTATCGCTTTTCTCCGATCTAACCTCGGTATCACCGGTATCGAATATTTGGTATAGGTATCCGCCCCTCCTTATCAGTGTCTGTTGAGCTGTTCGGCATATTCCGCGAGATAAACAGGACGGTTAAAAATGGAACGTTATTAGGTTTTCGCGAACAGCACAGTCATAAAACACAAGAAGCTGCAGCTGAATGAACCCTGACCCAACTAAATCAAAGTTGGACTTCCAGGTTTTGATCAGTGCAAAATAAAAGGGGAAAAAGGAGATGCTTCAAAGTCATTCAATATTTTGGACTACAGCACTGCTTTTTTCACTTGTCTGGTTATGAAAAATATGGTTCGAGTTTTGAGGGTAAAATCATATGGAAACTGTCTTGCAGGGAAACGAGACTGGTTTCAGTTAACAGAAGTACAAATTAGTGAGGGTTAGAATTACCGAAGCCAATTAGTTATGTAAATGTATGACAGAATTCTACTCCAAATCGATCTTGGTTTGGGTGGGTGCAAGGTTTAAATTTGAAAGACACTGAGCGAGCGATAATTGACTGTACTTAGTACATACATAATTATGGGGATTCTATTATTGTCTAATGGCAAAGATCATCAGATTAGCCTGTGAGCGAAAATGGCTATCAGGGGAAAAATAAAGCTAAAAACAAACCATTGCAGAATTACCACATAAATTTTACTTGTTAACAATGATAAAAATACAAACTCAGTTGACATTTCCATCTAAAGCTCAACCATAACAGTTATAAATGGCAAGATTCAGAAATCATGGACACCCAATTCAAGCCAGCTATCACATTGTCCTGTCAGGCCATTCACCACTTTTCTCCATTGCTTCTACTTCTTTCTTGATCTCTGGATGCAGATCTAAAAACTCATCAATCTGTGAGCAAAAACAAAAAATAACAATAAGTAATAATTATAATAGTAATATCAATAATAATAATGATAGTGATAATGATCAAATACAGATAGATTTGTCAACATATTTAGTATCAACCATGTCGTTAGATATGCCTCTTTCCCCTCCAAAATGTGGAATTGAAGTATAATTGCAGGTTTTTTTAGGTCATTAGGTAAATAGAGAGTAATATATGCGCACCCATAACTTTGGAATTTTTCTTTGAGCATTTGATTCAATATTTCACAAGTGCGGTGAATGCGTGAGATATTGAGCTGAATTCAACAACCTAACAAACTGGCATGGAAAGCGAGTGATAGGTCAGCTGATGACTGGCAATATCAAACACACATAACCAATTATCACAATTTTACATGTGTGCAGTGACGGCTTTTCTTAGGACTGGAGATCCTTGTAGAACACTGCAGTTTAGATAATAAAAGGGATTTACACATGCACCACAATGTACAGATGACAAACATTGGTCCAGCTTGTCCCACCTGGGCTCAATATACATGGCTATTGAATGAGTTCACTTTCCCCCAAAAACTGGACTTGAGAAAGCTGCCTAACCCTATCGTGAAATACTGTACGACCTCAGTTCTGAACCCATTCAATCCTAAACTAATTTCAATGTAACATAGATTGTTTACAGCTGACAAAAGCGAACCCTCGTAAGGTAAAGTTACTGGACTTACAGACATCTCCTCAAAGGGTTTCATGTTCCTGATTTTTGCAAGCTGAATATAAAAATAAAAAAAATATGAAAAGTATGTTGAATTCATTGTGAAACTAATTTTGAAGGATGGCCTAAATCAATATGTAATTATGACATAACTTGGACGCAACGTACACTCTGACTGGTCAAAGATCTACTGTATATTTGCCTGTATACCCATGGAAAACTAAAACACCTTCCTGTCCTGTGAAATGGCACCACACAAGGCAAATTCCCAGATTTTAATTTGGTAGAGGCCTTTGGTGATTTGTATAGTATTAGGTGCCAAGACATGATGAGAACAGTTTTTAAGACAATTCAGTTCGAAACGATGCCGAAGTACATAAGTGGTCTTTTTCAAATGAGGAGTGCTGAATACAACCTCCAAGGATCAAGGAAACTTGTTATCCCATATGTCACTACCACCACTTATGGTCTCCACTCCTTCAGATACAACTCTGCAAACATGTGGAACAAACTAACAGAGAACCTGAGGTCACTGACGTGGTTGAATGAGTTCAGAACTAAAAAAATATTTCAAATTTCTTTCGAACATTAAATTTCCTTCAAACATAAATGTAATTGTTACTTAAGTAAATAGTAGTGTAATGTACTGTATATAATATAAGACACTATTTGTTTTTATTTATTTTATTTACTTATTTACTTAATTTTCTTTCTCTTTCTTGGAGAAATTAGCTATATGGCTACTCTTGTAAATTTGAGGTGAAATAAAGGTGATGAATCTATGTACGACACTTTGAATGCCAAAAACCACAACAAAGATTTTATTGTTCTAACATGATCAAACTCAGTTTGACAAACTGGTTGCTCTCTTTTAAGCGTTTATTTTTCACCGGGCTGTTTAAGTGAGAGAACTTCAGAAATTCTCTTCTAGAATTCCCCAAGTTGCTTGCCAAGAAGAAAAAGTTGGCATGTTTTTGCTGCAAGAAAATTGTGATTTTCTGACAGGATTTTCATTTAGATATTTACTGAAAATCTTACCCACTGTTGAGAGAAAAAAGCACTGGCAAAGTGAATGTATACTCAAGATTCATTGCAATTCTCTTTGTTATCTGCAATTTCAGCTTTCATTTAATTGTCTTTTGATTTTGCCACTCCAAATACTGTTGTTAAAGAATTTACTGTTAACACACAATCAAAATAAATGTCACCAGTTGCAATTTTACAACTGACCTTCATTTCCCTGAAAACCTTGAGATAATATGAAAACTGCTTCCTAGGATGGCACACTTTAAAAAAATTCCCTCACAGATAATCAGATCTTAATCACAATGGTAAGCCAATTCTGGCCACAACAATAGCATTTTTCCCATTCAAATTGAAGTATTCTTCCCACCTTCTATCACTTTACCAGCTAAAGACTCCACTTGGGATGTTGGGAGAACACTCCCAACACTCCGCTTGGTGTACTAGCTGCCAATCCAATGAAAAATGTGGTTCATCACTGAAAGAGTAGCTACCAGGGTTACTTTCATTAGATTTACATTGTCCTTGAGACTCGTGAGTCCTTAAACATGCTTGAATTTTAGTTTGGGGGAATTTGTTTATTTTTTTTGCCAATTTTTTTTTCACTTAAGGTAAAACAGGATTTTCCCCATTTTCCATTGAAGCAAAACCAAAATAACACTTTTTGGAAAGTGTTAAGAAATTTATTGCTCATATCAACTGAAAGTTAATTTTTGATTTAAAAAAATTAAGTGTTTATCGAAACACTTATAATCATATATAATTTGGATATTTCAACAAAGTTGAAATGGTAAATTGTCCACTGTAACGATTACAAAAGCTGACGTTTTGAGCATTAGCCCTTTGTCGGAGCGAATAGAGGAATTGTGGGTTGTGTGTGCTTTTAAAGGCACCAATAACGTAGCTCCATTTTCTGCCTTTAAAAGCACACACAACCCACAATTCCTCTATTCGCTCCGACGAAGGGCTAACACTCGAAACGTCAGCTTTTGTAATCATTACGGTGGCCAATTTACCATTTCAACTTTGTTGATATATCCAAATTATTTCGTTACCCCACCGAGGCAACCCCAAACAGTTTCTTTCGAAACTATCAGCCTTTATTCACTTATAAACATACCTCAGCCTCACACTCTGCAATCAATTCATCTGCTTCCTTCCTACCTTCAATGTAATATTCCTCCTGTCAAATAAAAAAATAATTATTCAACTAATAAAACTATGAAACAAACCTAATAAAAAATGATGATGACAATGATGAGAATGAGAATAATAGCTAGCACTAAGAAGTCACAACGTTTTGACCTCTCTGAGGTCATTTTCAAGTGAGTAAGTTTTCCAAATCAGCATAAATATGTAGAAGCAAGTTGAAGACGATAAAATGTGGTGAACACTAAAATATGTGAAAAAGTGTAAACAATATACAATGGAAGAGAATAAAAGAATAAAGGAATAAAAGAATAAAATAATTGTAGCACCAATTGTTCTAAACAAATAGTTTAGCGCGAATTAAATCCCACTGTTTGTTTAGTGTTGGTTTCAGTTCTTTGTTAAAAAACATTTCAAAAACAAGACAGTCAAATTTGTTCTGACACTTCCTTAAAATTCAAAAACTCTGTGTGATGTCTTCTGGCTCCAGGTCGTGCTGCTCTCTGAGGTGGTGTCCCATTGCCGATCCTTTGTGTTCTTCAATTCGTTGGTGTAAGTGTCAACATGTGTATTTTATTCTCTTCCATTATATATTGTTTACACTTTTTCATAATTTTAGTGTTCGCCACATTTTATCATCTTCAACTTGCTTCTACATATTTATGCTGATTTGGAAAACTTACTCACTTGAAAATGACCTCAGAGAGGTCGAAAGATCGTGACTTCTTAGCGCTATCTTTTATTTCAAAGTCGATTTCTGAGAAACTACTTATTAATGAGAATAATGTTAATAATAAAAATTATATTACCAATGACTTGTTTACATATATATTTTCCAGCAATTGATGAATACATATTCCATATTACTGTTGAAGCCACCATATTAGATGTCTATGATTGAGGGAAGCTTGGATTTATTGCAAAAATATGTTCTATATCTATTAGGTTTCAGCAAGAGTGAAAAACTTTCACTACTTCCTGACCTCCTTTCCACTTCACTGGTTTGTTCCCTTCAGGCTCTCTTTGTTCTTACCTATCCAGTAAGGTGGCTTTAACATTTCATTTCAATATTTAACACTTGCTTGCCACAAAATACCCCTGCTATTCAAATTATATGAAAGATAACCTCCTTTCATTAATAAGTTTCATTAATAAGTTTAATAAGTTTAATAAGTTTGGACTTTTAGTTTGGTCATGAGAGCAGACAATTGGAAAACAGCTAGACAACAACAAAAGCAAAACAAAACAGAAAGAAAAGGCAGGACTACACAACAGGATTCTGTCTTCAGCAATCTCTTCTTCCCTGATCACATTGAAAAGACCCCCCAATGAGTGCACAGTCATCATGCTGAAAGATTGATTTTNTACAGGCCTGATTTTTTTCAGGTCTGATTTTCGCTTTTGCTTAAATAGCGCTATCTACTGCGAGGATCGTGCATCATATGTATAAAGTTTAGAAACGTCAATAACAAATTCCAGAACAATCTCAACCAAGACATCAACAAAATCAAGAAATCAACTAAAGCCTTCAGCCCTGCGGATAAGACCTCAAACTTTTACAAGCTTGACAAGACGCATCACTACAAACTCCTGAGGGACAGCATCACAACCACCTACAAGAAAGCCAGCACCGACACCGCTAACGTCACTGACTCACAAGCAAAATCCATCGCCCAAGAGCTCAAAATCAATAACTGCGCAGAACAGATCGCAAAACTACAAGCTTTTATCACCCTAAAAGATCAGAAAGACAACTTCGCCAGCCACCCTACATGCAGCCTCATAAACCCCGCAAAAAGTGAACTGGGAAAAGTCAGCAAACAAACTCTCCCCAACATCAACTCAAAAATCAGAAAAACAATGAAGCTCAACCAGTAAAAAAACACATCAGATGTAATTAATTGGTTCACAGGCATACCCAGCAAGCAAAAGCATTCGTTCACCTCATTCGACATCGACAGCTTCTACCCATCCATCACAGAATCTCTTCTCTCTAGCGCAATTTCTTTTGCCAAGAATTACACCACAATTAGCGACAAAGACATTGAAATAATCATGCACTGCTGAAAATCGCTTTTATTTGACAACAAGACCACCTGGACCAAAAAAAACCATAGCAGCATGTTCGACGTCACCATGGGCAGCTTTGACGGAGCTGAAATTTGCGAGCTTATCGAACTTTTCCTCCTGAACAACCCTGGCGAAAAATACAGCAAGAACAACGTAGGACTCAACAGAGATGATGGGCTGGTGCTTCTAAGAAACACAAGTGGACCACAATCTGAAAGGACCAGAAAGGACATCACACGTGAATTCCAGAAACTAGGCCTGAACATCAACATAAGCACAAACCTCAAAATCTGCAACTTCCTTGATGTCACCCTAAACCTCGTGGACAGAAGCCACTATCCATACAAAAAGCCCAATAACGAAACCCTTAACATCAACACCAATTCAAACCACCCGCCAACAATAATAAAACACATACCTGCAGCAATCGGCCGATGCATCTCCGACATCTCCTCAAGTAAAGAACTCTTCAATAAAACCAAGCCACACTATGAAAGTGCACTCAAACAAAGCAGACATGGCTAAAAACTAACCTACACCAACACAAGAAACCTAAAACTTGCAACCACAAAAGCAGACAAAGAAACATAATTTGGTTTAATCTGCCCTACAGCATGAAGTGCAAACAAACATCGGCAGAGAATTTCTGAACCTCATCAGCAAGCATTTTCCAAAAAATCACCGGTACAACAAGATTTTCTAGCCTCGTGACTGAAAAACCCTTTTTAGGGAGTTACAATCAAGTATGTATGTATGTACGTATGTATGTATGTATGTATGTATGTATGTATCTTCAACAAAAACAGCATAAAAGTTAGCTATAACTGCACTGACAACCTACAAACCATAATTAAGAAACACAACAGGAAAATCCTTGAGACAAGCAAGACACCCCCTACAGAAAACAACTGTAACTGCAGGAAAAAAAACGACTGCCCTCTGAAAAACAACTGCCTCACTTCAAGTGTCATCTACAACGTCAACGTATCAACTGAAAATGACAACCGGAAAGAATTACATTGGACCAACAGAAGGAACCTTTAAACAACGCTACACGCAGCACAAGCTTTCTTTTCGAAACAGAAAATAATCAAGCAGCACGGAGTTATGAAAGTATATCTGGACACTCAAAGACAGCAACACCAACTTCACAATTAACTGGAGTATTTTAGCAACCGCCCCGGCCTACAACAACAAAAGCAAGTGGTGCCACTTGTGCCTCACAGAGGAACTTTATCTAATTAGAGCTAAGAAGCTGTCTTTATTAAACAAAAGAACAGAACTTATTTCTAAATGCCGACATGAGAATAAATTTTACTTATCAAATTTCACAAGCCGCCAACAATAGCCCCAGAGAATAGTTATTCATTCATTTATTTCATTGCACCAGCGAATTAATTAACTACTATATATAAGGAGGTATGTTCTTTATTGAATAAAATTCTGTCTGACAAGTGCTTCGGCGCGAAACTCAGAGTAACAGAGAATCAATGTGACCTCTTTGATTCTTCAACTAATGTATATATATATATATATCAAACAGATACCACCAGTATAAAAAATGTACAAATTTGTAAATCCACACACTTTACTTTATCCTTTCAACACAAACTGTTCTTCAACATTCATAGCTTTCCTAAATATTCAGTTCAATGAAAGTATTTCTGAAGATGGCAGATGATGACCAGGGCTTGGAAATGTGGATGAATTATAACAAATTATATCCTTGTCAGCCTCTCTTAACCCTTATATTGATTTTAATGTTACTTACAGCTTTCCTGAAGGCTTCAACCATTCCTGGTTTAGTTATATTCTTGGCATACCAGTCCCAGTGAATTGGCTCTGGTTTAGGTGCAACTGTATCAATTCTGTGGGGGCCAAGAGAGAGAGAGAGAACTCCAATAGATACTAATTAAATACGTTCTGTATTTTGCATTCTGTATTTTGCTTTCTGTATTTTGCATTCTGTATTTTGCTTTGTTTTTGTTTTTGTTTTTTGCAATTTTTGGAAATTTCTTCCTAAAATGTCTTTTAATTGTGATCTCGAGGCAATATCAAGTACCGTTTGCCAAGGCTCAGTCTAACAATATTATTCAAGCCATGACATGTATGTGAAAATGGCATTATGGCCTATTTGCAAGGGTACGTTGTGTTTTAAATAAAATTTAACACAACAGTCAAACTTTTTAGGTCTTCCTGACTCTTCTAATACCAATTAACGTCGATGTCAACTTTACTCTTCAAAGCTTGTTCAATGTACCTCATACTGCAAAAGTTAGGCAAGACATATTGTATTGGTTGTAACAACTCACCGTGTTTTTAAATTCTCATATTTGGTTCTCATTCTATTGAAAACAGGTTTCCCTTCCTCGGGGCATTTTGTCGCCAGTTTAATCCAGTCTGGAACATACTTCCCAATCCTTCTTGCTGCCATTTCGCGATAAAACTTCAGACTGACGAACCGGGTAGACGACGATCCAAGATGGCCGCTGTACAATGTGTGCTTGAAATGCTGTCTGGGATAGAAGTCGCGGTCCAAAACCTCCAGGGCTCGAGGGGTAGGAGGGGTAGTACTTCTTGCTGGCAGAAGATGACTTTTATAGGTTGACTTTTTTCCTTCCTTTAAAGTAGTTTTTTTTTTAAAATTTTGAAAATTGATGTGAAGGCACGGAAAAGAGTAATGAAAATCCTTGTTCAAATTTCACCTTTCTCTACAACTTGCATTTTAAACCACTGATTCTACCACTCCTCCCTGGGTAAAGACCCAAGGCTGCTGACAATGCTTGACTGATTTGGTTCTTGTAGAGCGTAACACTTCTTACCGATAGCTTTCGAAATCCGCGAAAAAGTCAGCTGATCTCCTTTTTAATCATTCTAAATTTTTTTTTGTGGGAGATCTTGAATAAACTCCTTTAGCAAGTAAAGATGAGTGTAAGAAAGGAATATTCTAAAGAGGGTATAATACCAATCACTGAACTCCGAAATGAGCTTGCAATTGACATCGATGTTGGCACTGCAAGTGACATTGCAAGAACTCTTCGTCAATGCGACGCTCAGATATTTTCCGGCTGGAAAGACTTTCCAAGTGTCTTTGACGAGAATACTATATATGCGATGGATAAAGTTGCGGAGAAAGCGAAAGAGATTATACAAGACAGCAGTGGCGACAAAGCCATAGTTCTTAGCGGTTGTGGTACATCTGGAAGGCTAGCCTATTTTCTGGCTCACAAATTTTCCCAGCTCGCCAAAGCCCAGCAGATCTCAGCGTGTTACGATTATCTTATTGCAGGTGGCGACATTTCCCTGTTTACATCACAAGAAGCGCCAGAAGATGACTGGAAAAAAGGCGAAGAAGATTTGATACAGTTGTCTCGTCATAAGAAACGAGTATTGTTTATCGGTATAACATGTGGTCTTTCTGCGCCTTATGTAGCTGGACAGTTAGAGTGCTGCATGAGACACAGTGATATCTTTATTCCCGTTCTTTTGGGATTCAATCCTGTACACCAGGCAAGGAAAAACCCAATAGAACAATGGGATAAGTCGTTTTTCGATGTTGCCAATGCATTAGAAGGTGAGGAGATTCCCGACGATTCTTCGATTCTTCTCCTCCAGCTCCCCTTCTGCACATTTAATAGTTGGAGAATTACGGTTACCTTATGAACTAAAGCAGTGCCTGTACCCTGTCAATTTTCAGCCTCACACAATGTAGTATTGCACTGCCTAAGCATTGTTAAGGTGTTGTGGAGTTTTAGGCTTAAGGCTTTACCCTCTACACCCTAACATCAATATGCATATTCTCCATACTGTTCTCTATACATTTTGGAAGGTACTGAGAACTTGTTTAACAATCAAGAGCTGCTTTAGTTGGTAGTCATCATTTTTTTTAACTTCATTCTTGCGACCTTCATGTTTGATCAAGGGGTGATATTGTTGGTAGAAAAGAAAAGCCAGTTGCTCTTAAGAGTTAAAGGGTGAAACTAAAATTTAATACTAATGTAAGGCATGGCATACTTTTCCAATAATGAACGTGGCTTGCTTAAACACATCTAGACAAAACATTATCTCAGCAACTGCTTTGCATAACCAGTTATATGTTGTGTTGTCAGTATTGATCAAATTTGGTTAATTATGTTCACAGCCAATGACAAAGGGATCATTGTTAATCCAGTTGTTGGCCCAGAAGCCATTACAGGGTCATCGCGTATGAAAGGAGGAAGGGCCACTAAGATACTTTTGGAGTCGATTTTAGTTAAAGCACACGCCTCAGTCTCCCAGCCAAGATCAATGCTCAACACACTGCCTGAAATTCTTCTGATGTATGAGAACATGTACAGAAGAACTTACTTAAATTGTTCTAGTATTGCACGTGCTCTTGAGCTAGCTGCAGAGAGCCTCAAGTCTAATGGCCATGTTTTCTATATTGGATGGGGATCAGAAGGATTTATGGGTCTTTTGGATGCCTCTGAGTGTGTCCCTACATTTAGTGCTAACTTTGATGATGTGAGAGGCTTCATAGCAGAAGGGTACAATGCTCTGAACAACAGAGAAGGAGAGCTAATGCTTAATGGTTCCAAAAAGCTTTGCATCTCCCTGGAGGATTTTCAAAGCATTTTTTTACCTGAACTGACCATAAATGACACAGTAGTATTAATTTCTTCTGATAACAAGGCCTTTCGGCAAGTTACTCAATTGATTCATCTGATTAAAGGGAAAGGCACACAATTAATTGGCATCATGCATAAGAAAAAAAGTGAATTGTGGAATCTTTTCAAGCATGTCATCCATGTGGAGCTAAATCATCCAACAGGATGCCTCAATGAAAAGAGTTCATCAAATACAGTATTACTCAGTGAATTTTTGAACCAGTGTCTCCAAGAGATTTCTATTAAATGGATTCTCAATGCAATTTCAACAGGAGCCCATGTGTTGAAAGGAAAGGTCCTAAGAGGTCTCATGATTGATGTAAAAGTTAGTAACAGCAAGTTATTCCATCGAGCAAAATCTATTGTTTCTACTTTTGCTAGAACTGACCAGGAATGTGCTTTGCATGCTGTTCTCAAGGCAATATACAGAAGGGATTCCATCAATGATGTTTTCAGTCTACACATTTCTGAGCATGTAGCCAGAGGAACTGTTATGGATCAGGTGGTACCAGTGGCTGTGCTAATAGCCACAGGCAAATTCAGTGTTGCATCTGCCATGTATGCGCTGAAGACAAGTACAGTTTCCCAGATTCTTAAAGATCTTGGACTTATAGAGTAATCTGATGTACAGAAAGGATGGAAGATGACCATTTTAAAAATTACCTTGAAGAATAATTGAACAAACTCTTAATGATTAAATTCTCTAAGTATCTCATGTTGGCTTCAAAGCTAGTAGAGAACTTATCATTACTGACAATTTACCAGTCAATTTTGCATTATTTTTTAGGGAAAATCATTACAATGAAAATGCAAGGTGAAATATGATCTTGTACTTCGTAAAAGAATACTTGTAAAACACAGATTTTAAAATAACTCAAGTATTATTAAATTAAAGTTATAAACAAATCAAAAATAAGACTGTCATATGTAATGCAAAATAATCTTTATTGTACAAGGAAATTTAACTCCAGTTGCAAATTTAAGGTAATTTCTGATGTTACCTTGTTCATACATGTATTTTTACCACTGAAGACAATATCCATTTGAAGTAACCTTAATTTGAAAACAGTCTGAGAAATTGTGGCAAGGTATATTTAATAATTTCTATCTTTTATAGGCTAAATGTACTTTATTTAAATTCATTTCATAACTTTATAGTTGAATGATAAATTCGTGTTGTATACAATGTAATTACAAATTGAAAATAATTTCCCTCAATATTTTTAGTAACTCTTTCTTGTGGCTCACTGTAAGGAGGCATAAAACATTACTTTGGTATATGAATTGAGATACAATAAAAGTAACTCTTTGAAATGTTTGTTTTACAATAAATATCAATATCATGGATGCTGGCTCAAAGGTACTTTTCTATGTTGACGTTAACCTCTTTTTTTGACATCGTCTTAACATGGGCCCATTTGGCTTCTATACATCATTAGACTGCATTATCTAATTACTCCTCTCATGGGAAAGTTTCTCATTATAAATGAACAGTGGAAAAAGATGAGATACTATAACATTAGCTTAAGATGTGGAAGACTATAATTGCAGCTGTTGATCATGAACAAAAATAAAGAGATTTATTTCCTGTCATTATTTCCCCTTGGGAACTGTTTGTTATTGCTTTCAAATTTCCTTTGACAGATTGTTCTCAAACCAACAAAAGGCCAAAAATGTGCCTTTGTGGTTGAAAAAAATATTCATACCTAGCCAAAGGAAGGTTCTCCGGTTAACATATCACAGGATTTCATAAGCCAAAGCTGTTAGGAGGAAATTGACTATTTGTACTTGCAATGTTAGATTCATGTTTTGCCTTTGCTGTTTGAACACCCAGGAGTTGTTGATCTTTTATTTTTCACAATCAAGTACCAGTTCATTGTCAGCTTCTATAGCAGACAAAATCCTCTTAGCAATGGTCATGGGCCAAGAGATATCTTCTGGAATGGATATTTTCAAACAAGACAAACTTCTCCTGAATAATTATATTTAAAACCCAAGTATTAAACACTTGGCAACTGCACTCTAAGGTTGATAATTTTCAGTGCCTCTTCTGTTGATAATCTATACACCCCTGTGTCTTGTAGAGCAGCACTAGCTGGAGAAATTCCTTCTTCACTGATTTCACCCCTTGAAGACTTGAGCAAATCCCTCAACAACACAGCAGATCCAGGTAAGAGATTTAACAAGATACATGCTTCCTTGACCCTGGATAAGTAAAATAATTACTCAGTTTGAGAGTGTTGACATAACTCTATACACCTTAAAATCAGTATCCATGTTCTGCATACTTTCCATATACATTGCTTTTGGTCTTGACAAGCAGAGCTTTCAATAAGACCCGGCACCCGCCGGCGCTCAGGCAGGTATTTTGTTGTGAATCGCCGGGTATTTTTCACCATGCTCAAGTCGCGGTTACCACGCTCAAGTCGCACTCAAGTCGCTCTCCGGTGGGTGCTGTACCGAAGTAGCCACCTAGTTCAAATCTTATTGAGAGCACTGGACAAGGAGAATTTGTTTATCAATCAAAGCTTCTTTGGTTGTCTCATCCTCTCAAATGCTTTCTTGAGAAACGTAATATACTTAATGATTCCCTTATGGTTTCCGCGGGAAATGATCTACTGAACACGCTATCCTGGACATAATCAGTCAAATTGAAAATAACATGGACAAAAAGATGTATTCATGTGGTATATTCATTGACTTGAGGAAGGCCTTCGACACAGTCGACCATTCAATATTATTGCAAAAGCTGAATCATTATGGAATACGTGGAATAGTGAACAAGTGGTTTGCTTCTTACCTAGTAGGTCAACAACAAACAACACAAATTGGTGTTAAAAATATATCCAAGAAGGAAGTAATCTTATCAGGAGTTCCACAGGGGTCGGTATTAGGACCCCTACTTTTCTTCATTTATAGGGGAATCCTTGTTTACAATATTTGCCTCATTAGCATAAGCAATTCAGTTTCTGATGGAGCTAAAAATAAATCAGTTCTGAATATCGAAAGATCAAAGTACGATTAACTCGGCCAATGAATACGAGCCTGATGCATTGATTACTTTTTGTGCAACACGGGTTTAAAAACTCTAAATTTTACATAGAATGTATGAGCTCATTAGCGCTTTTGCCACCCAGAAATTTTGCAGTTTTTGATGGACTATTTCTCCTTGAATATTACACCCAAAGAGCTAAAAATTACATGATGTACTAAGGTTTTCTAGCTCTTTAGCTGCCTGAAGTCAATTTGTATCTAACATGCTTCCTTCTTTACGCAAAGCCGTATGCAAATGAGCAAAAATGTAAACAATGACGTCGACATGAATCCACCTATATAAACGATATATCTACTAGCTCTAATCGATTTCAATTTTACTTATTCAGAGATGATACTAATCTCTTAAATGCTGATAAAAATCTTAAGTTACTCGAAACCATAGTTAATGCTGAACTCTGTAACATCTATGATTGGTTAATCGCTAACAAGTTATCACTGAATATAAAAAAAATCTAACTTTGTTATTTTCCGGCCTAGACAGAAAAAACTGAATCACCAAATAAATTTGAGAATCTTTGACCATCCTACTAACAGTTATATTTCTCTAGAACGTAAGGAATTTATTGAATACTTAGGAGTGCTTATTGATGAAACTCTTTCATGGGGTCACCATATTGCTCATATTGCATCCAAAATAAGTAAATCAATTGGCATTATCTCTAGATTAAGACACTTTCTACCCCTTAGTACTCTAAACCACATTTATAGGTCACTTATCCAACCCTATTTGTTGTATGGTATAGTCGCGTGGGGTCAAGGTACAAAAATTCATAAAGATAAAATTCTAATCCTTCAAAAAGGAGCCCTTCGCTTAATGTACTTTGGTGACTACAGATCTCATGCAATCCAGTTTTTTGGTTCTTCTTGTTTTCTTCCTCTGGATATGCTTTACTTTAAATCAGTTGCCATCATGATGCATGACATATCCAATAACTTGTCACCTTCTAAAATATCTAACTTATTCACTTATCAAGCTAATATTCATCCCCATAAGACAAGATCATCTTCAAGAGGCGACTATTTTGTTCAAAGTTCAAGATTAGATATACAAAAAAGGACATTTTCAAGAAATGGTGTTAGAATCTGGAATAGCTTGTCTTGTGAAGTGCACCAGCTATCAAAATACAATTTCAAGAGTAAAATTCATGATTTCCTCCTCCAGAGACTCGAAAAATATGACGATTATATTGATTTGTCTACTTTATAGCACAACTATAAGACCCCAGCTTGTTCTGTTTTCTTGCCATAACTTAAATGTATTAATGTAGTTGTAATTTGTCTAGAACTTTTAATCTCTTGCTCGGTAAATCTTTTTATTTTATAACATACGTACTTAACACTGCCCGCCTCGACTAGCCTTTGCTAACTGCAAGCAGTGCATATTTTTTGTAATATTGTAATATATCATTAAACTTTCATTAAACTTTCATTGGTTGGTGATTATTTCCTTTAATCTCATGATCCTCATAACTGATTGACCAGTATTACTGTAACAAAAATGCTGCGGTCAAAGTTAGGATTTAAAAGTTAACAAATTGCAAAAATTATCTATCATGTAATTCTTTGAGTTCCTTTTTAAACCATGAGCCTGATGCTTCTATTTTCCCAGTACTGATTCAAATAATAGCAAGCTGACAATTTTTAAAATCCAATGATTATTGTTCAAAAAGTAGAAAGTTTATTCCAACATTAAGACCTTGCTGCACGGCAATGAGTTCTTGATCCCTAGAAGAATATGGTATTTTGTAAAAACAAGCTACTCTTTGGTAGACTAGTTCCTGGGAACCATAAGCTGCCTTTTCAAATCCCCTAATGTATCCACATACTTGTCAACCCTAGCATTTACTCAATACTGAATTTATTTGTTTTAATTGCAAGCACTTGCTCACTGTCATTAATTCAACAATGTAGGTCATGTTTTTGAAACTTACTCTTTAAAGAAATTCTCTGGTTTCTGTGTGTATTCCAAAAATAATGTGAAAAGATTTTTTGTCAAGTCAAACTGTAGCTGTGCTGCACCTCCTTCATTGAAATGACACTCTAGGATAATCTGTGGGATGATCATCAGCAAAAAATATTAATTACAGTTTCACCTCTAAACCCCAAATATTAATTAGAATTATATATGGGCATGCATAGATGAGGAAGTGCTCTTTTAACTGAGCATAGTATCTACAAGTCATCATATACTTTATTTTTCATAATATGTAAACATGGAAGGCAATTACTAACTGGAAGAGTTCACCTTATTAATGGTAAATGTTCTAGCAAGCATGTCTGTTGACTGTTTTCAACTATTCAATGTGCATGTTTAGGGTCAATGTTTGGCAAACTTAACACTGTCAGCGTGTTGTTATAATAACATGTAGGTACTGTGGAGGTAATGTGTTGTTATCAAGTTGGCCATCAGTTGGCCAGCAGGTTACGGACAGCCAAACATGGAAGCTATTGTTCATTTTTTCCCCATTCATCAACCTGATTATGTTGCATGAAAGGTGAGTGACACGTGGCAGCAGTTTAGTGATATCAAACACACTTAAAAAATTACTTTAATTTCACACATGTGCAGTTACAGCTTATATCTAAGGGCTGGCAATCCTTGTAAAACACCACAGTTTATCAAACATTATTTCCATCTGTAGCATGTCTCATTAAACTCTATAAACTTCACTGGGCAGTAAACCACAACTTGCATCATAGAAGATTAACTTTAAGAGTGCTTTTAAGAAAAGCAAGAATAAAACATTCTTAGGTTGAATGTTTCCCATACGATTGGTCTAGAATTGTAAAAAAAAAACAAAAAAATTCCCTACCTCATTGTATATAAACTTGTTAAGAGCCTTTGCAAGATTTTTCCATATCACACTGAAAATAGTGCTTGCAAGCTGTTCCCGCAGAATTTGAAACCTTCCTTTTAAGAACAATAACATCTCACATGCCGAGGAGGACAGGGTGAGAAGAATAACATCCTTTGGAGATGGAAATGTGTGCCATCTGTAGAGTAAATCACAATGAAACTGATAACGATAGATCCTCCATCAATGATATCACCCCTCACTGTGATATTGCACAAAAAGCTAACAAATAATTAATAAAAGAGATTCTCCAACATTCACTTATTTTGACAAATCTGAGTATAATTTGGCTAAATGTAACATGTAGTATCTAATGCTGAGAGAATACTGAAACATTCTATATCAAAAGAACTGATTGAATTTTAATGAAATCTTCAAAGTTTCATGCTTTAGGTCAGTAGCAAAGGCAACATGTATGACCAAAACAACACATGCATACGACAACTGCAATGTGCAAAAATGTAAACAACACACATAAGCAATGTTATGGTCAGCATGCTGCCTTTGCAATGGACTTAGAGCATGCACAGAGTCCATTGCATATGCAATGAGTGACCAAAACATTTCTGCAGCAATAGAGTTATACTTCTTATAAACAATCAATGTGTCAGACTTACTTTTCTTTTTTGTAAGGTTTACTCAGCATCCTAAATCCTTGTACAACATGCTTTACAAGATCACTGATCATATGTTCCTGTAAATCTAGTAAAGATTGTGTCACTTCTTCAAATACACTTCTCATTGAAAGAATCCCTCGTTCTTGAAAGACTTCAGTGTCTTCCTCATGGTTTTCCATGCCTAAACTATCACCAGACTTTACATAGCCATTAGATTGATTGCGATGTTCACAGAGTTTGAGGAAAAGCTGGAAACAAAAAAAAATTAAAGATTTCCCTTCAATGACAGTTGTTTCAGAGACATTGTAGCTGGAAAAGCTGCTATAAAATAAACTTACCACACACAATGATAAAAGAAAAAATTAAAATACCATTTGCTCACTCCACTCTTGAAGTATCAGGTTAACATAATTAGCAGTATTGAGAACTGAACAGTAATGCAGTCCAGCAGGTGCAGATGATGTTTCTCCTGCCTCCAGCTTCAACCTGGAGATAAAACTTTCTAGAAGAAACAGCTGGACTTCTAGAAACCGCTCCTGATGTTTCACATTTGGTAAATTTCTATATCGATCTGTTGACAAGGTAAATGATAATGAACTAAAATTATTTGTATTATTTATTTAAGAAATGCTTATATTTAATAGTCTTAATGTCAGTGAAATGCAAACATTTAAAACTCTTTATATCAGTGAGAACATCTCAACTACAGCCTCAGCAACAAAAATTTAATTCAGAGACTGACTTGTGGATGATTAACCTTTCACTCCCATGAGTGATCAAGTCAGAATTTCTCCTTACAATATCAATACAATACCGAGGGGAAAAGCGATGAGAAAAAAGAAAATTATCAACTAGAGGATGATAAGTTGATCCAATAACAAATTCTTTCGGCTAACATTGTAGAAATTGTATGTCAGACAGTGGGGAGAATTTGATTTTCATGATGTTATAACCTTTTCGTTGTGTGTACAAACCAGCCAACACCATTGCTACACAGACTATGTTATGCCAACTTAGAAACTCGAATGTGATAATCAAAGGTCATGACATTAATCATTAAACTAGGTGTCAAGTTCTGTTTTGAAGGTGTGTGTTCATGTTAGATCTTACACAATGTTTTTCAATACACTGTAATTTTTAGGTTGACTAAACCTTTGCATGATTTAAAGTTCTGTTATACAATTCTGTTTAATTTTTGTTTTTGAATGTTTTGAATGTTTCAGGCTTAGACAAGCATGAGTTTTCACAATCATATTTCTTTGTTCTTTCTTATGCCAGTTTTTTTAATCAACCTAAATCATTTGTTTTTTAATTTCCAACAGCTTCAGCTTACTCCAGTAGGTAACACTGAAAATCTAAGCTTGTCTGTGTTATTCCATTGTTCAACGATCCAAATGCACATGTGTAAGCTCTGTACAACATGATGATAATATAATAATTACTATTTAGAGAATGACTGGGACCGTACTAAGGTCAGCCATGTATATACCTGTTATAACAGAGAGAAGGGTGATGAACCCTTCTGCACACTCAGGGGTCCGTGTGTCATCTACATCACCAACCTCTTTATATTTGGGTGTCCATGCTGACGAGGAGGACAGAATTGAATTCATGTTTGACTCAGCATCTGTGAAATATATCAAGAAAGAAAATATATGATACCACAGCATTTGCTGGGTGTGCAAAGGACTAATTTTTTTTGAGGCAATTTTTTTGAAACCCAGCTTGATACTTACAGCTTCTTTCTAAATGTACCCATCTCTGCAAGCAAGCTTCTGTGGTGAGGACATGCAAACAGACATACTCAGTAGAGCTGTAATTGTGAGCCACATGAAGTTCTTTGTTGAATAATAACAATTCATCCACAAAGTGAGAAAAAGAGCCATCATCATCGATTATAAATGGGATGCTGTGCTCCAACTTCTCCACTACAACTTTTAATAGCCCAGATATAAACTCAGTCTGAAAATAGTTTAAAGAAAACCAAAGAGGATCAGAATTAAGGAACTTCTCTTCTTTTCAAGACTACAATAATAAGTTACACTGGGTCTACCTATAAAATCACACATCTTAAAAATTTGGCATCTGACTGGTGAAAAGAAAAGCTTCAACTTAACAAATACTACAACAATTTTCAATTCAGAGTCATAAGTATTCTGAACTCACTTACAGTGGTTTTTTGATCTGATTGGTCCAAATAATGTACCTGATCTGCTTGACTGATCAGATACAAAAATGAAACCAACTACAACTTTATTACTAGGAAAACTACAATTTTCTCATATTTTGGGCTTTGACCACTATGATGACAAAATATCAATGTTGGTAAGAGTCCAGACACCACATTAAACCACTGTCCATTTGTTTTTTACCAGAATATCAATGTCAAATAAAATGATTCTCTCAGTCCCAGACACTTTGACACCTGTAGCATTGTCTGTACTCTTACTCTCATTTTTCAATAAGATTGCAACATTACTTTCAATTGTGGTAAAATTACACAACTGTGTATAGCTAACATGCATGGTTTTTTTGGCACATTACCTTGGCACAAACAAAATCATATTCTGTCCTTTGAAGAATGGGTTGAATTGTGTGTTCTAAAAAGTCACTATGGTTCTTTATCCAATTTAAAACTTGTGTAAAATACCATTCAGGCTAAAAGAATAAAAAAATCATGTAATGAGTCGTTCTATCCTTTGAAAAACTTGAATGATTGTAATTGTTTGCTATGGCATAACATTTTAGCTTGCCAAACAGGTAATATTCTTGTTAGAAAGCTTTGATGTTCCACCTTTCTAATGAGTGGTACATGCTGGACAAACTCTTGATTACTCTTTTACCATCCCAAGTCTGTTATTACAGCAGAAAATAAATAGAAAGAGAGGCTTTTTAACCACTTATAATGAGTAAACAGCCATGTGTTTAACAGGATATACCACAGTCAATAGGTTTTTGACCAATCAGATTAAAAGTAATTTCCTTTTCAGGTTATTTCATAATGATAGATTTTGTAGTTATCTTAGTTATTAATCAAATGATACATTAGTTTTATTTACCTTTTGAGGGTTGTTTGTTTGTTTATTCCCATAAAAGTGAAAGCGAAATCTCTTTCTAAAGGGCTTTAAAAGCCAGTCAAGTGGCAGAAGTATTTCACTTTTGTTTTCATCAAGAGAAGTATTTCCTGTAGATATTTCTTTACTGAAAAAATGGGGTAAAATGTTTAAGTCAAGTAAAATAAATATGTTCTTAACAGCTGATCTTATTAGTTTCATTCAAGAGTAAGTAGAAGACATGTCTAATATCAAGTTCTCAAATAAGTTTTAAATAGTCAAATAGTATGACAGTGACTGTATTTGATAATAATCTTAACAGCGGTCGATTACTGAAAATTGTAGACCTCTTCTTGTATAAGTAACCCAAGCTCTGTATCCATGCATCCACAGGGAATTGATGTTTGAGCATCATTTCCTTATTCTGTTATCAGGGTTAATTTCTGCACTTACATAAGAAATTTTAATCAGCAGAGGGAAGTCATCTAATTCATAATCAATCTAAAGCAATAAAATTGTACAGTTGTACTCTACATTAATACTACAACCCTCTAACTAACAAGTAACCCAATTTGTATGGACTTTTTAAAATACTGCTGTAAAAGGATACAACTTTTGTAATTTGAGCAAAAGTATGAACACAGTTTCTAGTCTGCTGTAATCATCAGATGTTGTAGATAATGGAGGTGCAGTAGAGAGAGCAGTAAAAGGCCATTTCAGAGCTTTCATGATTTCATCAAATTCACTGTAATAAAAAAAAAAATAGTCTCATTTAAAAAAAAAACTCTGGGCAGTTGACCTGTAGCCAATGGGATCCCAGTTTAACTCTAATCTATAGGGACTCAACAAGTCATGTATGTTTCAATCAATTTGGAATTCTTAAGGTGACCACCGGACATATTGACAATACAAGGGACTAAAGAGTAATAGCTTGGAATACCCTTAAGGCAATTCCAAAATTCAACATTTGTAACATTTTGTTTCGCTAAACTTTTTAGACTTCACAGATGCATTTTCATCAAGGATCTGATGACCCTGGAATAAATTAAATAAAATTATGTTCTTCCAGCCATTTACTACCAGCTACTTCAGACTTGATTAACTCAAACTTCCTGATAACTTAAACTAATTCAATCTACCCTCCCCTGGTTCAAATTTTTTCCTTACCAACAACTCAAACTTTTTATAGTTGGGTAACTCAAAAGTAAAAAATTTAATGTCAGTTGATAAACATCAAAGTGTGAGATCATAGCTGATTGATATGTTCCAATCTTAAATCAAGATTAATAAAAATGTGGTCCAACTCTTATCTTTTTGTTTAACTCACCTTGCTAGCTTATTAAGAAGAATGTTTCGCCAATGTAACTGCATTTCCTTCACAAACTTGGTCAAATTACAGCAGGCTGATTCACTGAGTAACTGTGCAAGCTCAGACAGCACTGACAACTGTTCCACTGCCCAGTTCAACTGCCCAGCTTCAACAAACTGATGAATCCGACAACTGAATGCAAGACACAAACACCTATTACTTTAATTATGAAATAAATTTTAACCATTGATCTTTACAACTAGTCTAAGTATTCTACCTTAAACAACAGATGGTGCATTCAATTGATATAAAACTTTCTTATGCCTGTTCAAATAGTAATAAAGAAAACTCTTGTTATAAGTTAGAGTAGTGTAATTGTTAATAACAACTACAACCAAAAGTAAAGCTTGAAGTTACCTGACAGATTCAATCTTTTGTATCCAACTCACGTATGCTCGGAATCTCTCAACCTCTGCAATTTGACTCACTAAACTGGACAAATGCTCTGCAAGGGGGTGAAGTTTCTTGAGATGGCTGTCAACTCTAGATGTAAGCTGTTCATGTTGTTGCTGAAGATTTTTTATTTCATTAACTGCTGAACAACCTTTGTCAAGTACATCCTGAATCTTATCTGGTGTTCTACTCCGGGCCTCTTGCAACTATTTGGAAAAACAATGCAATAACATTATTTAACAATTATTCGCCGAAGGCAGGGTAAATATTGTCGAATAATCCCCTCAACTTTGTCTTGGGGATTATTCGACAATATTCACCGAACTTGAGGCGAATAATTGTTTTAGTGTAATTTCAGAGCTGAACAACAGAGAAATTTCTAAAATCATAACATTTTAGTAACATTTATTAACATTTTATTTTAATATTTTATATAACCCTTGTGGAAATACAATTACTCGCAATCCATGTTGAACATAAGGTTACCAATATCTCTAACTGACTTGTACTCCACTAGAGTTAGTAATTCTCAAGTCACAGATGTAATCTTTTAAAATCTACTTAGGCCTGGGAAAAATATCTTCAATTGCTTTTAGGACATAAGTAGTTGTCACCGATCAAAACTAGGTTGACCAATCAGACAATGCGCAGTACGTTCATTTATGTTATAATAATTAATAAAGGATGCTAAGGATGAAGAAACAAATAACACCTTTTTTTTTGATGGCCAAGCTAAAAATCTTTTATATTCCATTTACAGGGTAGCATGATTTCATTACTGTTGATCCTTGCAATATGCAGGATTATTTTCATTTATGAAGCTAAATCACCATGGGTTACTCTGAAACTCATTGAAGGAGCACAGCAAAATGAAATTGCAAAGTCTGGGTTCAATCCTTTACACCCTGACATCAGTTTGCATATTCTTAGCATGATTTCATTACTGTTGACCCTTGCAATATGCAGGATTATTTTCATTTATGAAGCTAAATCACCATGGGTTACTCTGAAACTCGTTGAAGGAGCACTGCAAAATGAAATTGCAAAGTCCGGGTTCAACCCTTTACACCCTGACATCAGTTTGCATCTTCTCCATACTGTTCTCTATACATTTTCTAAGATATTGACAAGGAGAATTTGTTCAATAACCACAACTTTATTAGTCATTTCCTTTATTCTTGTGACCTTGAAACAAGACTCAGGGCTGATACTGTAAGGAGAAATAATTTGGATGCAAATTGCTCATGGGTAAAAGAGTTAATTCCTTGAGCAAACCTTACTTTGTCTACCCTCATGACAAAACAAATAAAATAGGATGACTTTTTCAATCACTTATAACTGTAGGCATAATAGGAAAAGAATTTCCTATTCTTCCAACAGGAGTTGAACCCATGACCATTTAATTGCTAGTATGGATGGTCCATCAATAAGCTACACAGAAACTCTTCCTAGTGCAGCTAGATCATAAATCTTGGTCTATGTTCTAAGCCTGCTGAAAGTGGAAGATCATTTTTTCAACCAGAGACAGACATAATTGGAAAAAAGAAATTCTGAGCAATCCTAACAAACATGTATGGCTTAAGTACATACTAAGTAAATGGAATGTTCCTTTCAAATTCCAAAACAAATATTCATTAATTACATAAAACCCACAACAAGCTTGGTCAGAGAGTTTAAAATAGGATCTACATTTCTTACGATAATTAACGCAAACTGTCATTTCCGTTCAGCCATGATAACTATTCATAACTGTAAAGTCATTACATTAATGTCTACTTTCTACAACAACAACTACTAACATGTAAATTTCTAAAATAGAAGTACTTAACATGTTCTGTTTGAAGAATTACAGAGATCTCATTGAGAGCAAAATAATACTGTTAATGACAGCTGTTGTAAAGTTAAGAATGCCATTATAAATAATTGACATACTTTGCCTCAAATTGCTAATTGATTTAAATTAAGTGGCCAGCTTTGGCTTGAAAAGACACAAACAGAAATATCATCAAATCCCCTTCTATAGGCATCACCTCCATTATTGTTTGACAAATGTAAAAATGAAACAACGTTCTCACAGTAATGGCTACATCGAAACCACAACTAACCTTTCATTACCTATTCACTGTGAGAACTATGATTATTTCAATTTTATAATAAGATTTTAAAATATGCAAGACAGCAATCAATTTCCCGTCGAAAACTAATTTTTAATATCCGCAGAAATAGTTTCCCTTTGTGGGGAAGACAGCCTTTCATACATATGACTTTTAGCGCTTAATTGATTTCCTTCCTTAGGTATATTAAGCTTACAGTAGCTCTAAGTTTTGAATTCTTTTCACGTGAAGTATTGAAAAGATGGATCGCTAGGGCAAACCAAAAAATGTTGTTTTAACCAAGGTCGCTTACCTCCGTTTCCAAACATTTCTTCTTCTTTAAAACATCTTGAAGAAGAGATTTAATAGAAGCTGCCGACGATTTCTCGGTTCCAACATTTTTGTCCAGAAAACTAGTTAGTTCTAGGCTCAAACTTTCGCCTTCGAAAATTTCGCTCGCCATTTTAAACACCTTAGCTCTTTGTTAATTACGGAGAGAGACTGGAAATGATAAGATACACCGTTTCCTCAGTCAACTTCCGGAGAATGATTTTCCTGAGGGTCACTACTTCCGGTCAAATTTCCAGTCTCGTAGCTTAGAATCAATATTTGCTGCGCGATCTAAAAACTTATCACTCACATGAAAGTAGGTGGTTATTTGTCGTAGATAATACACACGGGATAAAGTTTTATCATTTGCTTCAAGATGTAGCCGCTAGTGGACCTCCACCTTTGAACTGCATACTACTTTCCAGGCAATGGGGTCGGCTGGGTACGTGTAGCCTGTGAACGTACTCGCCAGTCGAGAATAGGTCGTCACGAAAAGGGGGAACAAAAAGAACGAAGAGACGAATGGAGTTGGAAGTGGGAGTCCACTGTTATCGGTCCTTTCAATAGGAGCCTATTCAAAGGCTTCTATTGAGCATTTCCATGATTCTTGTTAACATAGTCCATTCTCTACAATGGGACCTCCCACTAATTCGAATACTAAGACCGAGAAGAATGCTGTAATTTACTACTTATCATTTGTAAAATCTCCCTCGAAAGAAGTTACGAATGATAACGTAAGAGTCTTGATTTTGATATGGTGTACAGAAAAAGAGAGAAAAGAACACAAGAATTCACGACTACTCATATATCCACAGTTATCAGTGTTTATTCTACAAAAAGTGCCTTCCACCTATTGCAATTTAAAATCTATTTAATTATTCCCAGCGAGATATTGTACACTTTTCTCCAAAATATGCCACCTTCAGACTCAAGTAAAATTCGCTCGTGCTTGCAGTACAGGTTTCCTACCCTAGTCCTGCGTATTTCCTGCTGTTGATCGCACCTGGAACCCCAGTATTATTCACACTTCGTGTGCTGTGCAAAATTCTGGATTTTAATTGGTTCGCCAAAGTGTGTTAGTGGCCTGTAACCAACGATTTTTATCCTTCCTTCCCAATCCTTTAAGAACTAAAATAACTTTTTAAAATTCTTCTACTGACGTATTTATTTTTACTTTTAAAATGTATTTCGATTCATTTACCTCGCTCAGTGGACAACAGACTGAGGAACTGTTTCACTGTTACAGCCGCTTATTCCACTAAAAATTGTCGTTGGATCAATCCAGAACACTTTTGAACTTTCACGACTTTATTAAGCATTCACGATTTCTTTGTAACTTGACAGCCAATAAACGCCAAACAGGCTATCAAATGAGTGACAGCATTCATCGACGAGTTTGAATTTCTCATTTATTCCGAGTTTATTTCGAGTCCAAAAGCCGCGGGTGTGTTCATTTGACGCTGAATACATGTCATTACTCAATAATTATACCTTATTCAACAAACACTTAAGTTGCTGGTAAAATTCATGACAATTTTCAACTTCAAGGGCACTTTTTCTGTCTTTCTGATTGCTTTGTTCTGCTACAGTTTTCTAGTCTGCAAAAAAACTTTTTTTTTTATTTTACCTCAGTTTTGCGTTACTTTTGGAAACCAAAGAAAAAAATTTCAGAAAAATTTTACGGTCTCTAGGAACGCCCTCGCTATAAAACATGTTTTCAACTCACTAATACAAGCACCGAAAGTAATTTACCAACAATACCAGGGAATTCTCATCGTACTTTCGGTTGTCAGTAATATATTGTTTAAGAATTAGAGGAGATCTCTTGCGCAGAAAACTACTGGGATTAAAATAAGATGTGAACAGTACGCGTATGGTTTACCTACCCTACCCTAGATGAATTAGCCCGTAAATGATGATACTCTTGTTCCCATTACTATAAATGTAGCGATTAATATGTGACTTGGCCGAATAGCTAAGATGAAAATCAAAGTATTTCGAAGCGAGAAAACTCCAAAACTAATGTTTCCTAACAATATCTCAATAATTCTCAACCCAGACTGATTCCAACTAAACGCACTTTAGTATGATGTGATTTTTCGTCTTCGACAGAGTGCCGGACTTATCGTAGATGAACCCGCTACTTCATAGTGTCATCTTGCGGCTCCAAGGAGTTCCTGAATCTGAAAATAAAAGTAATTCTTGCTTAAACTGTGTTTTTAAAGTCGAAAGAACATTTAATAGAGCTCTACGCTGATAATGACCAAAACCTTTAATCTCGTTTGAATAAGAAGAAAGGATTTTGAATTCTTGCTACTTCCCAAGGATGAGAAAAGAGTTCTTCATACACCAACCAAAGCTTTTTTCCAAGTCAGACCAAAAGTTCTCGTCAGTATGCGTATTCCTCAATGGACAGAGGTCAGGCAATATTTTTTTCTTGGTTGAAAAATGTAACATAACGACTTCGGGCATCACTTGAAGGTTATAGAACTCGAGATCAAATACAGATCACAAGAAAAATGATCAAAGGGGAAAACCTTCCTGGCACAGAAGAGTGTTTTCTCCATATCAGTAATACTCGTCATGTACGCTCCGACGGTTCGTAAGTTGCATTTACAACAGATCACTGGAGTCAGTGTTAAATTGTGCATGTTTACCTGCTGCTTGTACATGGATTTGACATCTTCCAAGTCCATTTTCAGTTCTTCAGCCTGCTCAGCTTTCTCACCGTACATTTGAAGCACAGCGTTATGACGCTGTTCTAGCTCCTAGGTAAATACCAAGTATGATAACAGAATTACAAACGACCGTTTGCTTTCTACATACAAAATGTTTTACACGAGTATATCTTCATGGATTCCTAGTGCCCATGAGCGGATCAACACACAGTAGTGTGGATAGGATGGGAGGGGACGTATGAATTACATTTGGTAAAGACAACCTACTTTGTATCGTGTTTGTAGATCAGCTAAAAGTCTACTGTCTTCCTCCATACCCTCCATTTTAGAAGTGAGTGTTGCTAGTTCTTCAGTGACGGCATCGCGTGTTTTTTGTAGCGTAGTTCTCTCTTCCTGTAATAAGAGAAGTTCCCCTTTGTTAGTTTAAAATAGACCCTCATATACTGTACTGCATGAACTTGCGTCAGATGGCTTACAATTGACTCAAGAACTGATATAACTCGCCTGATCTAAATGTCATGTTTAACTGCGCATGACTCTGGATGCCTAATTCCCAAGCATTGAAATTCTTATTGACTTGTTGCGTTCTCTGCACTTTTCAAATTACGTAGCTTGCTTTCGACACATGACCGTTAACAGCTATCGACGAAGCGAGGTAATAAAGTTTGTGAAGTCAGAGTTAATAATGGCGAGTAGTGTCTCGTCTTTAGGGCAATTTCAGATTACAGTCGCCGAGTCAAAGACAATAAAAGGTTGCATACAAAACGATACCTGTAAAAGCAGAATTTCACCATCTTTTTGTTTGACCTGAGCCTGCAGTCTCTCGACCATGGCGGTGCCAGCTCCCATGATTCCCCTTGAGATGCCATCAATGATACCACTGGTGCTACCCTGACGTCCAAGTGGCCTGTGATGGGGATTATCGATATTTTCGTCCTAAAGAATAAAACACAACAACATGACGTGTGCTGTGGCAAATTAGTTTATGATAAGAAATTCTCTTTCGAAAAAACTTCCAATTTTAAAGGAACTTAAAAGTTCTTGAGTGAGTAATCTAAGAAAGTAATCAAAGGTGATGTTTCGCAGTTACCGAAAAAGAGGAATTCACAACTGGTCACTTTCGCGCGGGTAGAAAAAAAGGGTCTCCAAATCACTTATGGACAGTCAATGCATGCTACCTGGAAACTCGTGAGGGTGAATTGATTACGCTTACCGGGGAAGACATTACAGAACTCTTAAATTCTTCCTTTAGTAAGTTTACAAACCTGTGAAGAGTAGTCTCTGGCAGTAGGAGATGGAGGTGCTTCCGAAACACTGGATTGTCGAAGTAAACTTCTCTCCTAGAAAAAGGATTGCATACGAAACCTTGTTTAGTAATGGAAAGAGAAGCTGCAGATCTCCTTAACTTGCGAGAAAAAGCAAGCGACTGACAGTCAAGGTCCATACAACATATCTCTAATGTTTTCACTAGTCAGACATGTCAAGGAAGTACACATTTTACGGAATTAAGACCCACTTTTATAGAAGTACAGTAACACACAATGAAATACGCGAAAAATCCTTACATATTCCTCTCGATTTTCCTTTTTTAAAAGACAGGACGCTTTCGATAATGCTGATGCGAACAGTTCGCCACATATCAACCTAGACTTCCTTGTAACTCAGCAGTTGAACATTTGAACTCCAATTCGTAAAGTACAAGACTTACTTTTTCTTCCATGGCGTGTTGAAACTTCTTCTTTTCGGTTTCCATCTTGCCTTTCTCTACGGCGAGTTGTTGTTCAAGTAAAGCCTGAAGAACAAACATGACACACATTCAAAATAATTTGAGCAAGTCATAACGAGAAAAGCTCAGCATAAGTGGCACAGCAATGGCTAAGAACTGCCAGCGATTCTTACCTTCTCCAAGTTATTGTCTTCCATCATTTTTCTATATTTGATCTCCAATGTCTCTATCTTAGCAGTTTCCCTGAACATATAAACACAAAGTTTAGCATGAACAATTCTGAAATCAAAAGAAAGCACTGTAAATTACACGAAACAACATGACTCTCGGGAAACACACTCTAACAACTCTTGAAGAATCACTAAGATTAATAAAACAAAAACATCTTATAGGTTTACCGAGGTTGGTATACTGGTTTATTTCATCCCTGGAAATGCAACTCAGGACTTCTGAAATACACTTCGTGACAAAAATTACATTTGTTTACTGTAAGAGGAAGTTACCAGGTTACACAGTTTGCAACCTTCTCAGCAGTACCTGCTCTTCGCTTCCTCAGCAGTTTCCAGTCTCGCTCGTTCCATCTCCAGTGTAGCCTCCAGTCGCGTCTTCTCCTGCCTGTATGTCGCCAGCTGTGACTCCACAGCTGTCAAGCGGGAGTTCAACTCCAGCGCATGCTCTGTGGCAACGCGCTCCTTTTCCTGAGCCTCAACCAGTTGAACTTGCGCCTCATCTGACAAGAAAAGCAATTGTTAGAGAATAGTCAGAAAAACGCAAAGCCTCTTTCATGGAAACGACTATACTCAAAAAATTGTGTTTATAATTTCTTTTTTGAAAGGCTCTTGTTTTTACAGAAAACGTAACATGTACTGGAAGCATAAAATATTCATACTCGAGAGCTTTGCGTGTTAAGGAGTAATGTACCAACCTTTCGGTCCAACTTTTAACGCGTTAACAATGATATGATAAGTGACGGTTTAGAAGTAAACGGTTAACTTACTCAGCCTCTCTGTTAAGTTCCTTTCTACTCTTTCCCAAGTTTGCGTGTGATTTCCATAGCTGCTCTGCAGGTTTTCTATCTGCCTTAACAGTGGTCTTGTGGCTGTGGGTAGGTCAGTCAAAAGAAAGAACTTAAAATTGGTATCAGTTTGATCTTCATGGTTTTACTTCCTCCTCTCTCCCAAAGTTTTTAAGCAGATATAATGAGAAGAATTATCTTGTCTTTTACTAATCAATCACATTGAAATTACCGTAAGTGACACTTTCTGTGAGTTCCTGGTTACGAGCTTCTGCTTCTTGCAACCTCTGTAAGATAGAAAAATTGACTGTTCTAGTCATTTTCAACAGGAAATAATTATGACAAGAAATACAAATCACCACACCACGTCGTTCAAATAAACACCCACTTCATCCAATCCATATTTTCTCTTCAAGATGACGGACTGCACATAGATACTTATAACATCACCGTTCTCGGAAATTTGAATCCAATTAAGATCCTCATAAAGGCTATGCAATAAGTCAGTCGCAACGGTCCTTTTGGTCAAGATCATTAATAACATGAAATTTGGGCAATTATCCCAAAAGTCCATAAATTAACCAGGACCAAAGTTACATGTGAGTATCACTTATTTGAATTGTCTTGGAATGAGCGCGACTCCAGAAAATTGTATGCTTCAACTGACTAGTTTGCTTAGTTGCACTGACAACCAAGTTGCGATCAAAACCATTTTTTTTTACCTTAGCTGACAATTGAAAACAAATATACGCCAACCTTTTACACTTCCGTGAACATCTCACGAACTCCATTTTCACTTTCTTCCATTTCAGCATGTGAAAATATAGTCCGCGCAACGGTTACGTTATTCACAATCATTTATTCCTCACTTCACGGGTCTATTACGAACCATCATAATGACCAGTTCCCAGTTCGCTTGTTAGCTCAGTTGGTAGAGCAATGCACCGGTATCGCAGAGGTTATGGGTTCACATCCCGTACAGACCTGAATTTTTTTCAGGCCTTATTTCATTACCGTTCAAGTAGTTCTCATTATTTGAGCTCAAACAAGGCTAAAGACGTCTTCGTAGGTCTCGGATCATATCGTTTGTCGTTGCCATTCTTATCAAATCTAACCTGTTGTAGATCACTTATTTCTTGACGTAGATTGTCTTCCCTTCTACTGGCCTGTTGTTCAGCCCGACGGAACCCAGTTTGAAGGTCGCTGATCTAAAATAGCAACAACGAAAGAATAATTTAGTTAATTTGGTTTTATCAACTGAGCTGTTAATGTAAATTGGCCGCCGTAAAGAGTTTCGAAGTTGACGGTTCGAGCGGCGTTAGCCCTTCGTCAGAGCGGAAAGCAGGTAGTCAGTTAGTGAGTCAATAAATCAATCTATTACTCAGTTGTTAGGGAGCGAATGAATTAGTGAGTGGGTCGGTCAGTCAGTCGGTGAGTCTATGGCTTGGGCTGTACGTTGGTCTGTCGTCGGTCTATCCTTTAGTTGGTCCGTTAGCCGGTATAAATGGTCCGTCTGTCCGTCCTTCCATCCGTCTTTCCGTCAGCCATGCAGTCATTCAGTCCGTCGGTCACTTGACCAATCGGTCAGTCAGCCAACCAGTGGACCAGTCAGCCAACCAGTGGACCAGTCAGCCAACCAGTGGACCAGTCAGCCAACCAGTGGACCAGTCAGCCAACCAGTGGACCAGTCAGCCAACCAGCGGACCAGTCAGCCAACCAGCGGACCAGTCAGCCAATCAGTGGACCAGTCAGCCAACCAGTGGACTAGTCAGCCAACCAGTGGACCAGTCAGCTAACCAGTGGACCAGTCAGCTAACCAGTGGACCAGTCAGCTAACAAGTGGACCAGTCAGCCAACCAGTGGACCAGTCAAAAACCAATTGATGGATGAATTGATCAACCAAGCCATCAATCAAGAATTCATCTTGACAGATATGATTTGAATACCTGGAATTCTAATGCCTCAGTTTCACTCTTGAACTGTCTTTCTTTTTTCTCCATTGCAATCCTCAGTCCTTCTTTGGCAGTCATTTCAGCACTGAGAGCAGCTTCCTGAGAGTACAAACCACAAACTAACGTCATTTGAAAAGGGCATTATGGTTATCTGTGCATTACTTATGATACGAAAATCAACTTTTTAACTCAGATCTTCAGTTTGGAGATCAACAACTGATGCTGGTGTGCAGGTACAGCACTCGTTTCATGAAACCATCATTTGTCTGATTACACTACACAAACAACAGACTGAAACATAGCAAACATTACCTATCGATCAGTTTTCAGGCCAAAACGCTTAAGATAACATTTCTTACTCTTGTAGTTCTGATATGACCTTTTTATATTCCTGAGACTTGCTCATTTGAAGTAAAGAATGCTTGAAATAAAAATTAATGTGAACCTGTGGACTCAGACAAGAAGCTAATGTGCCACCTACCTGCACGGCGCTATCTTTAGAAGCATTTTCTTTGTGTAGGTCTGCCAATTGTCTGCAGGGAAAATAAGCACAAGTTGCTGGAAGCGCAAAAATATGATCGCAGCTCTATACCCCCCCTGTCCGTTTTAACAAGAAAATATTTGTGCAGTATTTTGACATGATGTATCACCGAAAAAAAAAACATTAAACAAAAATCCATTCGTGTCCCCATTATGAGTCCCTAAAAAGTTTCTAGAATTGAATTAGGGGCTTCCAAACGGTACGATACTTTAATTCTAAAAATTCTTGATGTCTGGCAAATCATGGGTCTTTGAAAGTTATGATCCAAACTCAGCTTTTGTTTTTAGATTTCTTCCAGATGTTGGAAAAAGACACACGTTTCTCAATCTTAAAAAAGGTTTGAGATTTTCAAAGGGTCCAAGCTAAGAATCTCTTATTCTGGTAAGTGTTGGTTTTTTTTTTAGCGAAGACTCTTACCATGCTTACATAGCCTCCCCTAAACATGGGGTAAGGGGGGGAAAGTGGGTTGAACAAGACAGGTTTGCATGAGGGACATAATAAGAATTATCAAGCCTGTTGTTTTCATAGCACTAACTTGTATGCATTGTCCAGTGCAGCCTGCATGCTTCTTATCTTCTCAGCTGAATCATCTAATTCAGACTATAATGAACAAAAAGAGAGCAATTGGGGACATCACAGTCATTGCCATGCCCAAGGGGATTTCTGTATGATACGTGTAGTCTGGATTATACCTCTGATTTTTCATGGAAGGAAATCTTTTCTGTGCTTATAAGTCTTGTTAGTTTTTAATAGGTTTCCCTGTAATTTATTTTATTAATATTTCTTTACTACTTAAGAACTATCATTGAATTTGAATTATAAGTAATATGCTTTGTGGAAAAGAAATCACATATGAGAAAAATATAAAAGAATTGCAGCTGAGACAGCAGAAAATGTTTTTCTTATTGCTCTTAAAACCAGAACAATACTGTTCTTTCCCAAAGATAATGCAAATGAAGATGGTTATTCTTCTCTCTGTGTGTCTAAAACCTTCCCCAATATCTTAAAGGCTAAATATATTTTCACCCATTCATGCAATGATGAATTTCTCCTTCCATTTATGTGGGAGTTCCTCCCTCTACAACATTTTCGATTTTACTATTGCATTACAATGACTTTGATGGAATGCTCACCTTCAGTTTACTCATTTGAGTGTCTTGCTTTTCAACATAGCTATTAAGTTGTGTTATAGCATCTGAAAAACAGAAATACAAGGCTTAGAGTGAAATCTATTAGACATTGCTCTAAGAAACTAAAGACCTTTCATGGAATGATTTCTTATTCAGAACGGCTAAAATGGCACACTGATAGATAAAGTTAAGGCAGTTCAGAGAGGTGAAAAGTGTCACTAGACACATGTGGTACCTGCTTGTTTTCTCTCTGTTTCTTCTTTGACTTTCAGGATTTCAGTCAGCCTGGTATTTTCAGCTGTCATTTCCTCCAATAACTTGCTGTAAACAAAACATTGAAAGACAATGTTAGAGTTAAAATTTGGGCACAATTTTGCACTTAATAATGATTAAGTGCAAAATTGCTTTATTGTCCACATGAATATGTCTTTGGATAAACCTTCTAAATGAGGAACTCAGCCAAGTGGGTGCTCAAATACAAATTTTGACAGACACTTTTGCAACTCTTGCAAATATCCTTGACCAAGCTTGTCTAGACTAGAAGACTGAATAGTTTGGTGAAAGGTTCATGCAGAAATGAAGGGTTACAACAGGAGTATAAGCAGCCATTCCTCGTCTTTATCTTTACATCCTCCCCCCAGGATTGTTGATGAGATCAATGAAGTACACCTGTTTACCTATTTTTCTTGATTAAAGCATCATTCTCCTTTTCCTTACTTCTAAGCTTCTTGACAATATTGTTGCTTTGAAGTTGCTGTTTAGACAACTTTTCACCTGTTGAAAATCCAGAGAATAGTCCTCATCAACAACTGATTGCAAGATGCAAACATTGGATAACAGTGTCTTTTGTCTAAATGTTAGCTGAGGAGAAAAAAAAAAAACAATTAAAAACAACAGCTACAATTAATCGAACAAAAACAATTCAAAAAATTTATTATGTCTTGAACCAGACCCATGATTCATAAAATATCTTGATGGTTTCAAAAGCTTGTGAACCTCTGTGTCTGAATTTTTGTGAAAACCATCACCACGAATGTGTCCAGATTCAAATGATTTGGTTGAAACCAGAAACAAGCTTTGAATTAGAGACACTTGAGCATTAATGGTGAAATGAAGTATCATCATTATGGTCACCACCAGGTAAGACTTGAATAGTGGGTGGTTGGGCAGGGCTGAGGGTTATACAAGTACAGTACCTGTCAGAGTTATCATGCAAAGGGAGAGAGGTTTTCAATTTTTTCCTTACTGATTTCCTCACTCTCATGTCTGCCCTGTTGCTCACTTGCCCATTTACCTATTGGTAACTACCTGCTTCTCACCACAAATACATTGTACCAGCTACAATTTGGTGAGTAATTATTACCTTCTTCTAGTAACTGAGCAATTTGATCATCTTTTTCCTTGAGTAGAGTTGTAAACTCTTCAGACTGTCGTTCATTCCTATTTCACAAAGCCAACATAAAGCTTTAGCAATAAGTGCATATGTTGTGGTTCAATATTGTTATTGAATTACAATTCTCAAGTCCTGTTTGATCTGTCATTATCTTCATTTTGGATTGTCACTGTGAATTAAAGAGGAAGGCAAATGGAAACAAAACTGGTTTGAAAATGTTTAAACCCAGTGTGCCACAGTTTAGTGTGGGGCTTTGAAGCATTAAAGGCTGAGTCTAGAAAAAAAAAACAAACAAACAAACAAAGAAAAAACAGGTTGCTTGGCTGCTAATTTGCTCATTTCCTCACTGATCCCTTTAAAAAAGAAAACATACGCACACACAAATGCACACACAAAGCCACCAGCAATGCAAGCTACTACTCAATTATGACAAATTTTGAACCATTTATAAGTCAGATGATTGTTCAATTCCTGTAGAACAAACCAAAAAAAATAATAATCCCTGTATTATCAGTACAGTTGAACCTCCTGTTAGTGACCACACCTAGTGTCAAGTCTAGGTGGTCTCATACAGGAGGTGGTCACTTATGGGAGGTGGCACTTACCAGAGGTCAGGCCACAGGGGGTCCATATTTTGGGGAATTTGCATATGTCGTGACTGGACTCTTTTGAGAGCGTTTACTAAAACCTCTAGTATTACCATTTAGCAAGTTTATTCATGATTATTTAGTATTGCAAAAACTATTTAATACAGCATGTTTGGAACAATTCACTGGAAAGAAACTTGGCTTGTTTGTTTTTCCAAGTGGTGCTGTCCAAATATTTACAGAAACAGAACACAAGCAAAAATTTACATGGAAAAGCTATTTTGGGAAACACCTCAAGTGGCTCCAATTTTACAAGGCATGTTGACATTAGATGGTAGATGATAGACGATAGATGACAGACAATAGACATAGAACATAGATGATAGACAATAGACAAAACTAGTTAGAGAGTACACAATAGACAATGGTTTTGTGATGGAACATAATCATGAAATTCAAGATTGTCATTCAGTTGCATTTATGACTATCATCTACCATCTACCATCTACTGTCTATCATCTATTGTCTATTGTCTGTGTTTTAGTACATGCCCCTTAACAAGATCTGTTGAAACAATTTTCAGTTTCCTCTTGTGAGAGATAAAGATGGTTGTCTGTCAAGTGGTTGCCTATGGGAGGTTAAAAACAACTGAAAATGAAAACAAGAATCTTTAAAAGTGGTCACTTGTGAGAGGTGGTCACTTTCAAAAGGTTCCATTACTAGTGACTTGACTTGGAAACTTTTGGTATTTTGAGAAGTGGTCACTAACGAGAGGTGGTCACTCATGAGGGATGGTCACAAAGGGAGGTTCAACTGCATGTAGATTGAAAATATATATTAGTTGAAAGCTTAACTGACTTGGAGGAAAGAGAATGTTCAGTCTCCTCTAAAAGTGCCCTCAAATGATCCCTTTCCTGATAACAAATCAAAGAAAACACATTGAACCATTAGCTACTAACATGACATGCATTAACACACAAGTTCAGTATATAACACAGGCAGCCCAAGCTCACTACTAGAAAAGCAGACGCGACTCTTACCGTGTTGCGCAATGTTTTATATTTATAAAGGTTTGTATGGGATGTTATATAAGAAGTTCTTTTAGCAGTTGAACACCAACATAGCGCTAACTCGCCGAAAACGCTTGAAAATGGCCTGAGACGCTAGAATTATCAAAAACAACAACGCAATAAGGTAAGCCAATTTTATTTCAAAACAAGACATTTTTTTCTCTCTTTTAAGGAAAACCGATAGCATCCCATACAAACCTTTATAAATATAAAATGTTGCGCAACACGGTAAGAGTCACGTCCGCTTTTCTAGTAGTGAGCTTGGGCTGCCTGTGTATATATGGACATGAATACACCATTGCAAGCACTTTATTTTGATAGAAAAGGAGGTGAAATGAAACAAAATGAACTGCATTATGCAATGATGGTCAAGAAAACATTTAACTGATCAGTGAAGGAACATTAGCACTGAAGTAAACAGTTCTTAAGATTGAGCAGTCATGGTACCTTTGCTGCAGCTTGAAATTTCTTCTCTGTAGCAGCAACACGAACAGTAAACTCTTTTTTCACTTCCTCAATTTCCTCATTCTCTCCCTTAAATGCATCTTCAGCTTGTTTCAGCTGACTGAAGGTAAGAAATACATTCATTTGTCTTAGAGTACATCCTCTTACCTACCTAGCTATATGCAAATTTTAACAATAGATAAAAAGATAGATCAATGGATCAGGTACAACTTGAGTAGTGAGTTTGAGTATTTCTATTACTGGTACCTGTCTGCTTGACAATGAATGGATATTATAGGGAGAAGTTACATACTAATCACTTCTAGGAGTTGCTGGGTTAGTGGAATATTCCTCTTGGAAGACTTTCATTAACATCATGGTGTCTTTTGTTTCTATAATGATTTCTTGTAGTTGAATGACTTGCGAGTACTCTCATTAATGCAACACTTCTTTATTCGTATGGGTTTTACAAGATGGTGGAGGAAAAAGCATTGAAGATTGAAAAGGATCACTGTATGATATGTGCACCGGAAGTTCATGTGTGGTGGAAGTATATACAATCATAACAGTTTCCAGTTTTCTTTCCCAGGAACATTGCCAATTAGTCCAGGGTGCAAGAGAAGAATATCTTGTATCTCAGTAAGTCTTTGATTTTTAATCAGCATTTGCAACCCATAATATACACTGCATCTCCTGCAAATTTATCTTTAACCTAAAGCCTGGTCTAACTTGACACACATGAGCATTAGCTTTAAACTTTCAATTGGCTTTGCAAAATGGCGAAAACAAGAATAAACTTAAACCAAAGAACAAGTGTATTAGCCATAATGAAACAAAATTAAAACTTGCAATGCATAGTTTACAATTATTTGTGTATGATATGCTTGGTTTCTTGCAACTATTGTACTTGGGCTTTAATGCTAGTCCTACTCTAGTTCTTGCATCACTCCATGTTGAGAACACTCAGCTGAAATGATTAATTGTTTAATCCAAAATAACTGGAATTAAGTATGACCCACCAACAAACTCTCAAAAAGAATTTAGCAGGCAGCTATAGCCCAACTCATGAGACCTTTTAGAACTCATTACTGGATCAAATTGACAATCGTTTCCACTTGTTATTCAATCACTGCTGGAAATCCTCAACATTCTACTAACAATCTTTTCCCTTAATTTTAAGTATTGTTATCGTTAAGTATTTTATACAGTAATAGTAATACAAACCTCCTCAGAACAGCACATGTCTCTTGCAGGTCTATATTTTCTTTACTAACTTCAATCAGCTTATTCTCACGTACTTCAATCACATGTTTGAGGCCAGAAATTTCCTGTAAATGGCCACAAGAAAAAGGTTCAACACAGATCCAGGATTGGGGATTATTAAATATCATCTTTCATCCTTGAAAAATTATTCTAATTTCATCAAAGGTATCTTGCTGGGAAGCAGACTAAAGCTATCATTAACAATTAAGCTAGACTGCAGGCATAAGAGTATTATTTTATTAAGTAAAATGCCCACATTAGACTACTAGAAATTGAGTTAACTAGACTCTAATAATTATAATAATAATTTTCTAATAAAAGAATATTAGACTGCTAGTAATAGAGTATTTAACTAAACTGCCCATATTAACAAAGTCTGAACCATCCTGTTGTTCACTCACCTTTTGCAGTTCTTCTATCTTCCTCTTTGTGTCTTCTGAGCTTTCAGTAGAATTTGGATCATCTCCCATTGAATTCATTTTCTTTTGCCTTGTTTCATCTGGAATTAAAAAATAACAGCAAACGAATAGTGTTGTCATGGTGTTAGATTGTATATCACCAGTAAGTAACAAGCCTGTTTTTTCTATATTTACCAAAATTAATGAACAATTGTAAGAGCAAAGAGGAATTTTGATCGCTTGGAAATTTAACATTTGGCAAACATAGGTCAACAATGTTGAGTTTAAATCCACACTGGTGCTCATCTCCATTGAGAAGCAACAAAAACAAATAAAAGATGTTCTCTTCCTCCTTTGAAGTTCATGTAAACTACCTACTAGGTAAAAAAAAATTAAATAAAGATATTAATAAACCTTTCCATTTACACCTATGATGTACCTCTAACCTACAGAGAGCCCTAAACGAGCTAGTCCTAATTTTCAGTTCAAAGGTGCACCCAGGGTTCGTACACTTTTTTAGGCCAAAGATTCAAGGACTTTTCAAGGACTTTCCAGGACCCTACTTAGAAATTTCAAGGACTTTTTGTAATGACAATTTTACCTCAAAACCAAGAAAAATGTTTCTGTTAATATCTATGTTTTGGGTTTACCGATGGTGCAAAACAAAAGCAGATATTTTTCGATGTTGTTCAATAAAAATCAAGGACTTTCAAGGACCCAAAACGAAATTCAAGTACTTTCAAGGCCTTGAAATCGGCCTCCTTAAATTCAAGGGTTTTCAAGACGCGTACGAACCCTGTGCACCTGATGTACTCACCATTGTGTCTTGTGTAATCAATAATCTGTAATCACAACAGAGAAGAGAAAGAAACCACTAAAATTCTCGTAACACTCACCATCATTTCCACTTGACTGTTGTAATGACAACATATCAACCATCTTTCCTGTATGTGAATGTATGCAAGTATGCTCTTTAACTTCCTGTTGTGATTTGTCATCCACTGATCTTTTGTCTTGAACAACAGATGCAGCCTCTGCAAACAGTTCTACAACATTTTCTGACAATGCCTCGCATTCTTTGCTCTGTAAAATTAGAATTTCTGGATCACACACATGAGCTTGTAAGTCTCCTTTGTCATTTGAAGCTTCTTCATTTTCATCAGTAGGTTCCATTTCAGGTTTCATTGCCATATCTAGTGGTGTACATTTCTGCTCCTTGGCAACATGTTTTGGTGTTGAACTGGCCACAGGTTGAACACTTGGTATATTTTGCGCAACTTCCTCTTGTTTAATTTCTACCACAATATTGCTTCCTGTTGAATCTTTTAGCAATGACTTAGAAAAGTCATGGCTTTCCAATTTGTTACCTAAATCAGGAGCTATTTCCCCAGTTTCATTTGAGGTCATAAAACCATATGTCTTTTTAGAGCAGTCCAATTTCTCCTCATCTGTATCTGGTGAATCTGCAATACTTTTATCTGGAACAGACTGCCCAGTTTCTGTATTAAGGTGCTCATGAACAGACTCTAACTTGTCGTCAGGTGTTTTGTCGTGCGCAACAATCAAAGCATCTAGCTCAACATTTTCAACATTTTTTTTGCACACATTATTTTCAGTGCTAAGCACTTCTTTATTCTCCTTCCTACCCTTACTGGTAGATGAATATTTCAAATGCTGTGATTTCAAGTTGGTCCCTTTTAGAGCAGGTACAACAGATGATTCATGTGTGTTCAACTCTTCCTTTCTAGGACTATCTGTAAGATCCTTAGCCTCTTGAGGATATACAACAACAGTGCTATTTTCATTCTTTTCAGAAATATCCTCAGCATTTGTCAAATCTTCCTTCAGAGGTAATAAAGTCTGGGGTACTTGGGATTGATCACTTGACCTTGTGCTACTGTCAGTCATGTTGATGTCTTTCTTTCTCTGCTGTTTTAGTGCTCTTGGAGATGAGACTTTGTCTTCGCCTTTCAACATTTTAGCATCCTCAGTGTCCAGTCTGTCATCATTGTTTTTCATTTTTCCACCACTTATTTGGGAACCAAGTTTCTGTCCACTAGCTCTACGATTTGATGTTTTTGATGTTGCTGATGAAAAGGAATCACCAAGAAAGGATGACCAAAATGAATTTCCATCATTATCACTGTCCTTTGAATTGTTCGCACCTGAAGATGGTTTCCTGGCTGATTTTGAAGTAGAATTCCCAGATAAAGAGGAAGATGATTTTTTAGGTGTTAAAGTATCCTTTGGAGATGTGCCTAAGGATGACGGCAGGGTAGACTTTGGTGCACTCAGAGCTGTATTGAAACAATGAAAACTATGTAGATTAGACAAGCAATTTAACAAATTTTCTTTCTGATGACTTAAATTGGAACATAGCTTTTAGACAAGAAAATAGAATTCACTGCTGCACCTCGAAACTAAAATCTTTCATCTGATCGGAGGAAAACATATAGTATACCAAGGGACCAAAATCACTAACTCCCATGGGAAAAAAAACTTGAACTTTCAACTCACAGGAGTGTGTCAGCCTGCACTAAGAAAAAATATTTTCCTGGCTACAAATTTTCAAACAAGAACTGAAAAAGAAATTCATCAGATTCAGAGCAACTTCAAAATACCTGGCCACTTTTTAGCATTAACAAATTGATTGCTCCCATGCTCCTTACGTCAAAAATTGATTAAAAGAGAGGGCAGTTAAAGTAGTGCTCCCAAAGTCAAAAAATAATCAAAAGAGAGGGCAGTTAAAGTAGCGCTTCTGAAGTTAAAAAATAATCAAATGAGAGGGCAGTTAAACTAGTGCTCACGCAATTCCACCCTCTTGAAGTCAAAGAATAATCAACAGAGGTCAGTTAAACTAGTGCTCCCACAGTCCTGTGATCCTGATTTCAAAGAATAATTAAGAAATAGGGCAGTTAAACTAGTGCTCCTGCTGTCCCACACTCCTGATGCTGGTTCGATTTAGGAATGAAGATTATATATTTGAATTTGTCAGTTCATTCACCACTGAAGTTGAAATGCGCGGTGATATCCAATTTGAATGACACTTGAAGAACGAGGAATTATGATATGATTCTCAATTACAATTTGGATTTCAGTTTACTGATGAACAAAGAATGTATATTTGAGTGGGTTCTATTTAATTTGGTGACTTTGGGAGTGCAGGAGGACCTATTCAAAGATGCATATTGAGTGGCTGGTTATTCTGAAGTTTAATCACAGATTATTCAGGACAACAACCCAAAATGTACTGATTAAACAGAGGTGTAGTCATGATTTTTCACTGAAATTTTTCACATTCATGATACTTAAAATTTTTCCTTTTCAAATAAGATTGTTGCATTTTGCAATTGGGTCAAAAAGTGATACTGGTACACAATTTGTCTTATTTTTTTAGCTGGGAGGTAGAAAAAACTTGTATTGACTGGTTCCATAGCATTCATGGAGTTTTTTTCCCTTGACCCTAAAGCAAACAGTTAAGGTCTCAGTAAAACAAAGCACACTGTTTCCCCAAAGGGCTAATCATTCCTTACTCGGTAATTCTGCACTAACGTCACTCTGACCTACCTCAAGTAAACAAGTATACTTTTACTACGGTAACGTCAAATTCAATTGTATGACAATTAAGCAATGTTCTCGATTAGAGACTTACGACTGATCACAATATAATTTGCCTTTATCAACCAAATGTGATAATCAGACCTGTGTGATAATATAACTCAAAATGACATCATTCAACAAATTGCATTATGCAAGTCGTTAACTCTAACTCCCCGAGTATAGGATAGCATTGGGCCCAAACTTAAACACTCCAATAGCAATATAAAATGCATATGCAAGCTTATCAAATAAATAATAAAGGATAAACTTACCCGAAGATTTTGAAGCAGCACTGCTAGTTTCATCTTGTTCGATATCGAGGACCTTATCAATGGATTTTTGTGCTTGAGATAAAGCTGTTTTAGCGAAAGATGAAAACCCCGAAGCATCAAACCAGCTCATGGCTATAGTCTAGAGTTCTTACAGCTATACATCTTGTCTAAGGGATAATTTTGAAATATTTCCAAGGAGACAAAAAAGAAATGTTTAAAACACTATCCACGTATGAATGCGACCGCCATGTTGTTTACCACTGACATCATCACGAAGGTGTACACTGGGGCCGAATGTGAAGCATTGTGGGCAGAAGAATTGATCATGGCGGACACGATCAAAGAAGCTCGTAATGAGTAGCTGGTAAAAAATTGGGAAGATTATATGAAAAGCTAGCTTGATATGGCCGCTAACAACTGTCGAAACTTCCTGAGACTGGCTAGTATTCAGGTAGGTCTATATCAAATAGAGAAGATTCTTAAAAAACTCTTAATACACAAGAGATAAAATTCAGATCTTACAAAACCTATCTAACTGGAAAATAAAAACTTGTTATTGCGCGCACAGCAGACAGCTATCCGTCTGTTACCCTGTTACCACTACCGAAACAAACGACACCGCAACCCCTACGACTACAGCAACCATACCGTACATAAAAGTCTTGTCTGAAAACATCTCGCGCGTCTTACTACCCTTCAATATCCGCGTCGCCCACAAACCCATCACCCCACAACGTCAGTCACTAACTAACGTTAAAGACAAAGACGAACCGAGGAACAGACAGGGAACGATTTATAAGATCAATTGTTCCGACTGCCAAGCCTCCTACATCGGTGAGACTGGCAGAAACCTCAAAACAAGACTGACTGAACACAGACGGGCGCAATGCCTAACCTACAGCACTGATTATTTTCAACGACTGACTCCCCTAAACAGATGTCAACAACTACCCGCTCCATACAAACGACTCATTCACGACATAAACATCACAAACGACCGAAAAAGAACGACCTAACTTTACCGACAGATCAAAACAGACCAATCATGACCGACTTACGTCACTTGAGTCTTACAGCCAATATCATCATGGCAAAACCAACCGGTCATTTCACATGAACTGGAATAAGAACATTCTACTGACAACAATCATTCACTTGACTCTGATGATGACTTCCGCACAGGTTGTCGAAACGTCAGTCACTACCACTGACAACAGTCCTTCTCAGGACTACACTCACCCGGACGATCAGACTACACCTTCACATGTTACCCCCGGGTTCAAACCATTTACTGCATTAATTTTTAATGTTTACTTTAATTCAAATGACTATGATGATGAACCTTTATTTAAGTGTCATGAAAATTCTAGTACAGGACAGTACTAATTGGGGACACTTACGAAAACAAAGCTAGTTAAAATAAAGTAAAGTTGTCATAATTAAGACGTAGAATGTAAAATTTTTAAAATATCATATAAATTTACATATCATATTAGGTATTACATAAATAGCAAGAGGCACAACTACTGTTGTCCAATGCAGAGATATCTTTACAGCTTATCATTCGTTTAAAGCCTTTAAGAGTTGGTGCATTTCTCTCAGAGCTAGACAACTTGGACCATAACAATGGGCCCAAGTACCTGATGGAGTGCCTTCCATACTTTACAATATTTTATCTTGGGAGGATAGTCTGAGTTTCGGAGGCTGTATGGCCTTAAATCATTTCTTTTTGTAATATATTCAAGGTAATCTGGCACCATTTGGTGCTTAACCTTATACGTCAGAAATGGTATGTCCTTCAACCTTCTTTCATTCAGGACCTGTTTACATGGAGATAGGGTGACCCTTCTTGAAGGGGCACCCTCTTAGAATGGTAACCCTTGCCTATTGCATTTTCCGGTTTGGTTTACATGAAAGGTAGGGTCACGCTAGGGGTAGGGTCACCCTATCTGCTTGGTAGGGTAACCCTCCTGCTAGGACCAACTTTTTGCCTTGTAAACACTTGAGGTAGGGTCACCCTCCTAGAGGGGTCCACTTTTGTGGGTTCGGTTTACTGTCAGATTGCCGTGAAACTCTGTAATGGTTTTGCGCGCGTATAAGCCCGAGGAATATTTTCACCATTCTGTGGTGGCCAAATCATCTGAACAGAGTTCAAAACAGTCCGAGGACAACAGTGTCGACATTTTGAAAAAAGACATTGATGATCATGAACCAGTTGTCGATGAGAGTACCATGGAAAGCCGCTCGACTCGGAAAGATATGGAAGAGGGCTTGCCACGTGAAAAATCAAAGAAGTCACAGGTTGTTTTGTACTTAGAAACCGTGCAGTTGTCTCCCTCGGTGCCAAATTCAATTAATCGTGGTAGCCCTAGGGACAAGACTTTGCATGCAAAGGGGGACTATCTTTTGCCCCTTCTAGAAGGATGACCCTCCTAAGAGGGTCACCTTATCTCCATGTAAACAGGCCCTTAACCCATTAATGGCCACAGCTTTTGTGGAAAACTGTGTTTTGAAGCTAGTTGAGCAGATTTCAGGTTACTGTTGTGGTTTTAAAAGCTCAAACTTACCAAAAACCCCTTGACAGCTCGTACACTCGACGGCCTTTTGATCCAAATGCAAAATGGCGGCCTGAAAATCTCGGGCATGCGCAGAAAGCAAAATTTCGACATAGTTCTTGGGTTGATAAGTAATGCCCCACTTACGACTTTTACTTTTCTCTCTTTCTCCTGCCCTCTGTTTCCCCTCTCCTTGCCTGAAGTTTCTCCTCACTTGCTGGAAATTTAGTAGGCTTCATTTTGGTGTAGAGAAGTTTTAGGAAACTACTCATTATTTTCAAAGCACATGCTCAGAAAGGTAGGTGGGTAATGGAACAAGATTTTTGTGCAGATTTTCAGGTCAAAGTTACATGGTTTTTTGGCTATTTCTCCAATCTCCTTCACTCAATTGCGCTCATTCTGGTATCATTTGTAAGATATTTTCAACTTGTTCAAGTGCGTGCTCAAAGTCGTGCTCCAGGGTTAAAAGTGATGATGTCACGAGGCGTAGAAAGGGTGTAGGTCCGCATGGGCGCATACGGGCGCACTGGACATCAATAGGTTAATGTATCTAGACTAGCCCTTTTTAAAAGGTCTTCATAAGATGAGGTTTTGTCTAGATAGATTAAGCGTAAAGCCCCTTCCTGTATCCTTTCTAATTGATGTTTATCTGAAGCCCTGGCAAAGTGCCAGACTTTTTGACAATATGTGAGGTGTGGGAGGATAGCCGATTTCAATAATGTGAGTTTTGCTGGAACAGGTACTAAATTTTTCAGACAAGATAGAACAACTATTTGTTGACTAGCCTTCCTACATACTTAGGCAATATGTTTACTAAAATTTAAATCACTGTCTATCAATACTCCAAGTAATTTCATTTAATTTTTTTGCTCAATGTCCTCAAGTCCAGTCCTTATATTTATAGCTTTGTCAGGGTACGTCATGTCTGATCCAAAAATGATGGTTATTTGACAATGGCTTCATCGTCATAATGAAGCTCCACAATATAGAGAGGGCCTACCTAATTATGCCTGAGCCTAAAGCTTCAAATCTCAAACAACTAGACTCTCTAATAAGCTCCCTTATCCTTGTTATTCTTGTTTATTAATGCAATTGGTTACAGTTGGACCTTGACAATCTGGACTTGTGGGAACCAGGCTGAATAGTCTGGGTTATCGAGTGTCTAATTAGCCAAGAAGTAAAACTGAATATGTATCATTTCATCAACTTTATGTAAGAATTAAAGTACATTCTCAAATCATTGTGTGCTATTACCGAAATTTGCCAAAGAATTTACAAAAACATTTTTGCGACAACAACAATTTACAACCTAAATGGGTTTGTTTCAAGCTGCTATAGCATATCCTTGTCACTTGTTTATGTCCAGGTAGTCTTTTAATTCAAAATATGCTAAGCCTTATATTTAAAGGTCTGTTTTAGTTTCTGCCCTAACACTGTGGGTTTTTCAACCAAAGAAATACATACTTCATGTAGTTTACACTAAAAGACCAAAAAAATGACTCTAATTCTCACTTCTCTTGTAACCCCACTCATGGGATAACCAGGACGTTGATAATAGTTTTCTCATGTTTCCTTTGGGAATCCTAATTGTCATAACTTCACTGATTTAAATGACTATTGATGGTTTTATTCTTGAATTGTTACAGGGTGTTTGCCATGTTGGACAAAGAGGAGTTCTAGGTAGTCATGGTGTGACATGTTTCCCTGCCATGGGGGTAGCACCCCCTGTCACTAAGATTCTTGGTGTCAGATATGCATATCAACCAAAAGCAAGACAACAGAAAAACGAAGATGTTGTACCAAGCTACAGAATTGGAGTCACCAAAGGCCAAGACTCACATCATACAGGTGTTATTATATTAAAATACAATCATCATATCCTTCTGTATGTTAATTTGCATTATATAAATATTGAATATTATTATTATTATTGTTATTAGTATTACTACTATTATTATTATTATTATTATTATTATTATTATTATTACATCGTACCAGCAGGGGTGTGGTCTAGCAGCGCCTATTGGCCCCAGGCTCCTTACTTTTGTTGTTGGGTGACTCAGGAATCTTAGTTTTTTCCTAAAAAGCATATGCTAGGCACCCTGGATTTCACAGTTTCAGAGCACTGGGCTCTCTTCACTTTTTCTTTGAACACAGCCTTGACCAGAAAACATGTTCTCGTACAGAGTGCTAAAAATGAAAAGATAGATAACTGAAAAGTCTAAAAAAAGGGTAATATCAGTCTGTCCCACTCAGTACCAGGAGAATCTCGTATTGCCATGGGTGAGACTACAAAACTCTTTTACAAGAGATGTGCTGATCTTTAGTTATCCATTCTTTGTGATCTTGTTTTAACCCCCATAAAAACCTACTTAAGGTGATATAACCCTTAAAGTATTCAGACACCTGTTTTATTATGGCTAGTGAACTTCAGCTACACTCCTGAAAAAACATTCTTCTTTTTCATTTTTTCTGAGTTCTGGAAATTACCCCAATTTAGTTCATAAATGATAAATTCAATTCAAGGGATTGATATTTTTTATTGCAGAATTTCAAAAATTTAGAAATATTCACCTAGAGTATTAGTGCTTCTACTAACATCTCCTTCACTTCAAAACTTCCTCTGTTCCTCTTTCTTTTATTGTTTCAATTTTCATTTTCCTAGACTAATTATGCTCTCTCTATATATATTGTATTGGTAAGTTAACCCTTTAACCCCAGTGAGTGACCAGGACACATTTTCACTTTCCTAGACTAATTATGCTCTCTGTATATTGTATTGGTAAGTTAACCCTGTAACCCCAGTTAGTGACCAGGACACACTTTCACTTTCCTAGACTAATCATGCTCTCTATATATTGTATTGGTAAGTTAACCCTGTAACCCCAGTGAGTGACCAGGACACATTTTCTCCTTATAATATCAAGCAGGCAAGTGATGAGAATAAAGAATAATATGAATTAGGGGATAATTAGTTGATCCAATACTAAAGTCTCTAAACTAACATCATGAGATTTAATGGCAGACAGTAAGGAGAATTACTAATGAGATCTTGGGGGTGAAAGGGGTAATAGAACATTTAAGCCCTTCTCAATTTCTACTCTGCCATTGATTCTTCACTATCCTACCCTAAACTGTGATTTTGATATTTGCTAGAGGGAGCCCATCATGTAAAGTCCTGTGTTTTCTCAAGGGCTTCATCACCACCTTTTGTCAGTTTTCCTTTTCTTTACACTTGTAACTCGATCATTAATATTATGCCAAGAAAAAAAAAACAATACAAGAAAGAAATATTTTCAAATTGACAGCAAGTTCATTTATTTTCTTCAGGAAATTTAAAGGGAAGTTTGTGGGCATCAGAGAGGATGATGGATGATATCATGATTCGCAAGCTTGTGGAAGGAGTCATGCATGAATATTTGGTTTCTGAGATTGTCATCAAACGAAGAGCAAATCGCATTAACATTGTTTTTCTTGTGCCCGCCGTTGTGAACCTGCCAAAGTTTTACTTCCTAGTAGGATTTACAGAGACGCTGCTTACTGAAATGCTTGAGTGTGTTGTGAAATTGGAATGTCAGTCTTCCATGTAAAACACCTGTTTTCCATGTGTTTAATTCAATCTTCAAATCTGGGGCGTCTTAACGTGCTTGACACAAGAATGAGGAACAAACCCTTTCTAAGAACTGTAACACTTGAGTTGTGACGAACTTGTGCGCTCTCTTGCAATCCAACATCTTTAAAATTTAGTAAACTCAGCAGTGGCCCTCGAGAGCCAAAACGAGACGTTTGATAGATTAAATAAAAATGAATTGTCCTTAGTTCTTTCAAGGTTATTAGGTATCAACTCTGTCTTTTATGTGGTGATCATATCCTTAGCTTTGATCACATCCTTAGCTTTAAATTCCCCGACCAGGAGGCAGCCGTACAGCGTAGTGAGTGATTGAGAGCGATACTTGCGAGTGCGGATCCACGCGAGGAAAAGTAGTAGAAGCCCGTCATCGCCCAGTTTTTTAAACACAAAAGTCCAAACATTGCACACGCTTCATTACGACACATCCGTGCCCTATCCTCGTGGCTATTTTTGTGCCTGTATTTAATTATAATTAATAAGCTCAGGAATATATTGAATTTTAAGTGTGTTGGTTTCCCTTGAAAAATGAAAAAAAACGCCGTGTGGACATCTAGGTTGGGAAAGTTGCCAGAAAGTATGCAATAGTGTGGTTTCACACCAGTGAGGAATGAAAAAGGGAGACATTCTTCACAAGCCAAGCCAGGATTCTACAAAAGCGGAATCCTTTCCCTGCTCATGTTAAGTGGCTGGGTAAAATGCTCCCGCTGCGGTCCTGTTTCATGCCAATTCATCGAAAGCAATTTTACACTAACCCTTTATCTTTAGTTTAAATTTTTGCCCAAACATGTTGTATAATCCATGAATTGTGTGAGGTGGTAAATATGAATTAGGCGCAGTGTGAATGATGAAGTACCGCGCCCTCGAAGCATGAGCAATACACTTCGCTTAATCCTGACGCAAAAATAGAGTTGAAAGGGTAATCTCTTAACGATTCGCGGAGATAGACAGCCTGTGGTCCAACGCGCTAACTTGAACAGGATATCAAACTGCCTTTTCTCTTTGACTACTAAACGCCGATGGTTATATTACGTTCGCCAATTACCGGTATGTGGTAATTTTAATTGCGACGTTGGTTGAACAATTGCCAATTTGGAGATTTGTTAACACCTAATCATTGTATATAATTAGGACAACATCTTTTTTTCTCGAAGGAGCGGGAGCAGGATTAAACTAAAAGTTGTTTTTAAGTGAAACAATGTCAGGGAATAGTTGTTCGAAGGTCATGCAAATTGTTAAAATGAGTGCAGTCTGTTACTTCTGGGCAATACAGCTTACAACGCAGGAGTCTGGGAAAAGGGCCATGAAAGGTCTGTTCAGGAAATCCGATCCCTGCAAAAAAATTGTTGGGTCATGTTGTAATTAGAAGAATCGCGAATTCCCGGCGTGAAAACTCAAGACAGAGGTTAGCATCTTTGTCGCGTGTGACCAAAGGAAAAGCGAACGGAAAGGTACGGTAAGTTCGATTTTATAGCTTTATTGAGCATCCAATTCGTCCTGCAAGATTACGACTGATCAGTGTCTTAAGACCTCTTGAAATGAAAGTCTTGTTGAAACGATTAATCCAGAGTGTGCACACGTTTGTCCTGTTCAGATGTTCTTCATAAGATCGCGCTTACGAGTTTTCACACACTGAACCCCTAAACAACACGAAAAAAGCGCGGGAAGAGCAGAATTCTTCTGAGTGTTCCTTTACACAGGCACAATGTTCAGCTACGTGGATCGTGAAATGCAACACGAATAGATAGATAGCTTAGGGATCAGAGTTCTCGTTTGCAGAATTGCTGCTAAAAACACAAAACAGATGGCTAACATGTTTGAACTGAAAATTTCCATAAGACGTAAAAAAGCTTTGTTGAGTATCTATTTATGAAGTCTCATAGGTTTTCGGCAATACAAGCAAATTTTCGTCGCGCTCCTCAATCAGATAAAAACGCGAGTTTTAACAGAGGTCAGATCCAATGACAATGAAAACTTCCATTTTCCCTCATGACGTAAGCGCGCATTGCATTCCATGGGGTACATCACCAGTAAAGAAACCAAAATTTTCCCATTAACAAATACAGTTATGACTCCGTCGAGGTAAAATATCGGCGTAAGATGAACTCTAGATGATTTTAAAGGAAAGAAGTAAGACTTGGGCTTTTTCCTTTATCCGACTGCACACCAAGACGCTTGCTTGCGATCAAGCATTCTTTTTTTTTTTTTGCTGTGGGGAGCGCGATGGTGTAGTCAATTCAAGTTTATTGTCTTTGCGTGAGGCATGGTTACCCAATTGCCCGACCCAGAGGCTCATGTAGAAAACGTAAGACAAACCCACGCATCCCCCCCGCTTGGGAGGACATCCCCTACACAGTAACCTCGTGCGTGGGAAATTAACGTCTCCTACCCCTAAACTCTGCAGGAGACGGGACCTACGGTTTATTCGTCCTTATCCAAGAAGACTGGACTATCTATCCAATTCTTGATATTATAGAAAGGTAGCAAATGCTCCTCAGTTATTTTAAGACCCTGAGTATTGGTCCGGCCAGGGCACGAACCCTCTACCTCCCGCACAACACGATCCGGCGCTCTAGCCAATTGAGCTAACCAGAAGGCGGTTAGTCCGCCTTGATACACTTCACGTTTTCCGCAAAAAGAACGCGGGAACGGGGTACGGAAGTCATCGAATACAACTACAGCATGCATCTTACCTCACTGATACCCTTTGAACCTTCATTCATTTTGCTGTCGCGAAGAATTCCGGTAAACATCTTTAGATTGAATTCTCGGATATCATTTCGACAATAACGTTATTCTTCTCTACTTTCATCCACCATGCGTTGTTTTTCCTTTTGTTGTTTATTTTCTCTCGAAGCTTTCCACCCATCTTTCCTTTTTTTATAAAACCGCTCTTACCAATTATACTACAAATACACAATGTTTTGCAGGATAATGCATCACGCACTTGAAATGTTGTTTGTTCTATTGGTGCTCTCATTGGCCAGGATTCAGTCACGCCCTTTGGATGAACTTAACAAAGACATCCAGCCTACCACTACAACGTGTTTACCTCCAAATTGCCTGTATGAATCCAAATGCTATGCACACGAAGAAGAGATAACTCATTTATCAGATGGGGAAGGATGGTGTTACGGACTGTTATGTAATGGTGGTCATGCTCTTGCATGGGATGACTTTGATTGTGGTCCAGTTACAACTATACCTCCAACAACAATCACACCCACCCCTCCAATGACAACCCCACCCAGCCTCCCTCCAAGCTTCACCACTACACCATTTGGATGCAACCACGGAGGTTCTTTGTATCCTCCCGGAAGCAAAATCAGTGAAGGTTCAGATGGAAATGGATGGTGCTATGGATTATATTGTGACTACCATGGAAGCATTATTGCTTGGGATAACTGGGACTGTAACCCTAGTTCCACTAAAAAAACAAGCTCTGCTCCTACTACAACCCCTCCAAGCTCCACCAGAGAAACAAGTTTGCTTCCTTCAAAGACTCACCAAAGAACAACAAAACCTTCATCTCTTCCTCCCATTGACACTACACCATTTGGATGCAACCATGAAGGTTCTTTGTATCCACCTGGCAGCAAAATCAGTGAAGGTTCGGATGGAAATGGATGGTGTTATGAAACATATTGCAACTATGATGGAAATATTATCGCATCAGATAACTGGGACTGTAGCCTTAGTGCCACTAAAGAAACAAGCTCTGCTCCAACTACAATTCCTCCACAACCAACACAATTAGGTTGCCTCCAAAATGGTATCTGGTATGCCCCAGGCAGTGAGATCAGCCGAGGATCAGATGGCCAAGGTTGGTGTTACGGACTGTATTGTACAGATGATGGTCAACTCCAGATGTGGGATGACTTTAATTGTGCAACAGAGTCTACACCTGCACCCAAACCTCCAGCTCAGTCCAAAGGTTGTTACCATCAAGGGGAATGGTACCCACCTGGTGTCTTTGAAGGTACCAATAACCGTGGATGTAGGTTTGGAGCGCATTGTGGGTTAGATGGCCAAGTGACACATTGGGAAGAATTTGATTGTCAAATCAAGAGCCCGTGACAAGACCTTCACCTTGATCTTATGCTTGGCCAACTAACTCATAAATATTAGAGAGATAGTCAAAATGGTCCATGGGTGTAATTTTATACAGTAGCCTATGGGTATTACAGTGCACAGTCCACATTAACTAATGGTAAACTGATGTCATTAAGTCAGAATGAATGCTTTCTCTTTTAAGATATTCACAAATGTGTAATCACTCTGATAAGTGTTTTCATGTTTACAATCATTAGAAAATAAAACTGTCCTCTCCAGATTGTGGCCACTGTGGAATGTGTAAATTTAAAAACCAACTCAAAGCAGGGTATTTTTCATCACAGTACCCCAAAGAATCCTTTCATGGATTTTCTAACACTTTACCCATGCCCTTATGGTCTTAAAATAGATATGATTTCAACATGAATGCTCTCATAGCACAAATTTTGTGCCAAGTTTCATTCACCTGTGATGGACCTATATTGATGTAGTCTACAGAGCCATGCTCAACTAAACAGGTGGGTGAAGTCTGCACACGAGTCGGATCAATTTCACAAATTAATGTGTACCACGTTTTTTTCTCTTAGGAGACAAAAAGCAAAAATCCAAATAATTTCTCAAAAACTGCTTTATTGAGAACCTTTACAAGTACATTGATAACAGTTTATACTGTTTTGTGGATCTAAACTGGTTAAATTTACCTTGTGATGATATTCTTGATCAGCAGGGATTTGCTAAAGCAAAGGCATAGAAAAAACCAGGAAAGATTTATTACAGTCTAATTTATGCTATTCTTGTACCTTTCCTTATTTGCATGTTTTTAAACTAGTCTCTTGATAATGGAGTCACGATGACCCCGAAACGTCGAGTAATAAATCTTTCCTGGTTTTTTCGATGATATTCTTCACCCTTTAAATGTATACAATTTACAATAGAACCAAAATGCTTGGAAAAATTGAAATCAATGCAAACACAGAAGAAGAAGGCATAGATAGGGACTTTCAAATCACTTTTTCTCCATTTAAGGAACTGAAAGTGTATCACAGGTGTTACAGAGCATCATTACCATCAGTATGTAAACATTATAATTATAAAATGTCATTCCCCACTAATCTCCACTTTGTATTTGGTCCAGTCACCACCTTCAGTATGGAACCAAGCTGTAATAGAAGATAAACAGACATCCAAGGTCATCATACAAACTCTTTGTTATTTTTCTGTTTACTACATATTTTTATTTTTTGATGCAGACTGACAAAAAGTTAAGTCAGGATTCCATGAGGTTATTAAATCAGAAGTCAGATTACCCCAGTTCATAATATAATGAAAAGCATGTGAAAGTATTGTAGCACTTTATTCAACCTTTAAGCCATGGGAGTGACAGTATCCAGTCAAGTCGCCGAAGGTTTAACTCGCCAATGTATAAAAATCGAGTAGAGACATAGGCAAGTTGGTCTTCAACCCAGTACAACTTATAGAAAAGTAAACGATCTTCAGTAAAAAAACATTTTTTTTCTTCCAACAAAGTTTATAAGGATCTCAAGGCAAATAAAGCAAGATAAGCCTCGCCAATGACTAACAGCTTCAGATGCAAACGAGTTATTGTGTGACAACAACACTTTAAAGACTCATCATGTCAATTGGGCTGAAAAGTTGACTTAGGGAGCATCAATAAAGTGTATGTAATTGGTCAGATTTTTTAAGAAAACTTGGCTTTCTAGACAAGATCTTATGTAAAAAACAATTATTTTTATTTACAACAAAGTTTTTAAGGATCTCAAGGTGAATAAAACAAGATAAACATCACCAATGACTATAACAGCTTCAGATGCGAACGAGTTATTGTGACAACAACACTGTAAAGACTCATCATGTCAATCAGTCAGATTTTTTTTGAAAACTTGGCTTTCTAGACAAGATCTTAAGTAGTAGGCAATTATTTTTATTTCCAATAAAGTTTTTAAGGATCTCAAGGCAAATAAAGCAAGATAAACATCACCAATTGCTATTTAACAAATGGTAAACATCACAGCGTACACTATTGAGTTATGGATGCACGTGGGAGGTTGCTAAGCACTCAAGAAGCTAGAGAGTCACTCGAGGCGATAGCCGAGAGCGACTCTAGCTTCTTGAGTGCTTAGCAAACCTCCCAAGTGCATCCATAACTCAATAGTGTACCCTGTGGTGTTTGCCATTTGTTTTATCACATAACATTGATACATTGTAGCTAAAGAGTTCCCTTTTATTTATCAAATCTTACGCGACCAGAAAAAACAAGCGCGCGCGGAAAAATAGTCTTTGCATTTGCTCATGTCAGCAGCGTACACCCATGGACAAATGGGGGACGCTAAATTGACCAATCAGAGCGCGCGCTTTACTTTGGTTATGTTATAAAACAGCTTCAGACGTGAACGAGTTGTTGTGTGACAACAACACCATTAAGACTTATCATGTCAATTGGTTAGATTTTCTAAGAAAACTTGGCTTTCTAGACAAGATCTTTAGTAAAAAAACAATTATTTTTATTACCAACAAAATTTATAAGGATCTCAAGGTGAATAAAGCAAAGTGAACATCGCCAATGAACAAAAAAGCTGTAGAGGCGAGTGAGTCTTTACAGTGTTGTTGTCACACAATAACTTGTTCGTTGCAAATAAAAATAATTGTTGTATACTAAGGATCTTGCCTAGAAAGTCAAGTTTTTTTTAAAAAAACCTGACCTATTAACATGATGAGCCTTTACAGTACGTGTTATTGTCACACACTAACTCGTTTGTGTCTAAAGCTTTTTTGTTCATTGGCGATGTTCGCCTTGCTTTATTCGCCTTGAGATCCATATGAACTCTGTTGCGAATAAAAAGAATTGCTTTTTAACAAAGATCTTGTTTAGAAAGTCTGACCAATTGACATGATGAGTCGCTACAGTGTCGTTGTCACACAACAACTCGTTTGCATCTGAAGCTGTTAGACTAATTGGAGATGTTTGTCTTACTTTTATTGCCTTGAGATCCTTATAAACTTTGTTGGAAATAAAAATAGTTGCTTTTTATTAAAGATCTTGTCTAAAAAGCCAAGTGTTCTTTGAAAAATCTGACCGATTGACATGATGGGTCTTTATGGTGTTGTCACGCAATAACTCATTCGCGTCTGAAGCTTTTATAGTTATTGCCGATCTTTATCTTGTTTTATTCGCCTTGAGATCCTTATAAACTTTGTTGAAATTAAAAAGAATTGTTTTTAATAAAGATCTTGACTAGAAAGCCAAGTTGACCAATCGACCTGATGAGTCTTTACGGTGCTGTTGTCACATGATAACTCATTTGCGTCTGGAGCTGTTCTAGTAATTGCTGATGTTGACCTTTCCTTGTTCGCCATGAGATCCTTATAAACTTTGTTGGAAGAAAAAAAATTGCTTTTTTACTAAAGATCGTTTACTTTTCTAAATGTTTGACTTCTGATATGTTATACTGGGTTGAAGACCAACTTGCCGACATTTCTACTTAAGTTTAGACGTCAGTGAGTTGGCGTTGGCGAGTTGAACCGTCGGCGACTTGACTGTAATTCGGAGTGACTAGTGTGTAATTTCTCCATACAGTAATATTGCTGAATCATTCATTAAAATGGTGAGAGTAAAGAAAATGATCACCATTCAACCTAAAAACTTTGATTGTTAAACAAATTCCCCTTGTCAGTACCAACAGAAATGTATAGAGAAGAGCATGGGAAATATGGATACTGGTGTTAAGGTGTAAAGGGTTTTGAGACAATGTGACAAGAGGGGAGTACTGCTTATTTGGTTAATAGCTTTGGTTCAGTAGAGTTCAACTGAGAGATCAGTATTCAAGCTTTGAATAGAATATGAAACAATCTAGCTTTCCATGTAATCTCTTTAAGACAGTAACTTGTTCATCCTGATTGATGAATGCATTATTGCATATGTCCTTCAAACATTTCTCAAAGGCCTATTGCATTTAAGAAATTCAACTTAAATTTCCTTTTGAGGTTATTATGATGATAAGAGGATTCACTTTGCAAGTGAAGAAATAATACTTGCAGTTGAGTAGCAATTAGGGAAATTTCAGAAATTGCAGGGTCATATGTTTGTAATCAGACTCCTTCATGAGAACAAAGAACCTGCTGAAATTTATATTCCTCCAAAAATGTGGCTGTATAGCTCAGTTGGTAGTGGTGCCTTCTGGTATCTAAAAGGCATGGAGTTCAAATCACCATAAGACAAAGCCTCAACTTTTTCAGGCTTCTTCTGCAATTTCTTTAAACAAGGACCCTGACTATAAAAGGGATAGCTCCTCCCCCGTCTTGTAACGCAATCTTTGCTTCCATGGCTAATCGAAGATGGCTGACTAATGGAAGGTGAAGGGGGAAAAAGAGATTTGTACACGAAGACCGATATCCTTGTCTTGTTTCAATTGATTTCCACTTGAAAATGTTTTTATTGGCGATTAAAAAGGGACGAATGGAGAAATACTGATCTTCATTTGCAAAACTCAAAAAATTAGGCTATCGCAATTTGAATTTCGCGCTCCTAACGGCTCCTCCTATTGCGAGATGGTCGTACTGGCCCTCTGACTCCCCTCCGTTTGCCTCAACTTCTTGAGCCGTCGATATCATTGACTAGAGGATCTTAGTACTGTGACATGCTCAGAGAGAGTGGTTTTCATGTACATATATATACATTTATGTACATGTATGAAAATGTGTGTAGGTGTATGTTGCGACATAACTCATCTTCCACTTCGAATTGATCCATTTTACGGTTGCTACAGTCGCGCACTAACTAGTCTTTAGCTTTAAAATTGCATTTTATTTTGCCATGGTGGATTTTCCATCAAAAAAACCCAAAATAGCGGCGTGAGGTCTACGAGTCCGTTATACACTGGAGCTGGCGGTCGAACCCGGAATGGAAGAGCGATTGGAAAGCGTGAAGACAAGAATTCAGCGGTTGAAGGAACGCCTTCATTTAGCGAGTTGAACACCGATGGCAAATGTTATTTTGATGGAACGACTCTTAGACTTATTCGAATGGTCTGAACAAAGAGGTATGGTAAGTGAAAGTCACTCCTCTTTGTTTACATCTTGCTCGTTCACTCAGGCTTCTCATCTCGCCAGCGACGCGGCCACCCAAACCGACATAAACGGGTCCAATGTTTTATTGCACGTTTTGAGTTATGGAGAGAAAAAGCCTCAAAAAAGGAAAAAAAAATAGAGCGAAGTTCAAGAATAGGTCCCTTTGAAAGGAACATAGTTTTCTAAGTATTTTGACACGGCACTATGTAGGATATTTTTTGCCTGAACATTTTAGACGCGTGTTGCAACGAGAAGCCTATTTCACTAGCTACTTATGAAAAGGTCGAGGTTTTCAATAGTTCTTGAGGCCTGTTTAGGCAATATAGCCGATGATAATTTGTTTTCCATCGGATTTCAGTCAACCAGACATGTTTCCAATCCGTGACCGAAATTATTTTATATGAGCACCCACGGGATTCGTATTTCAACACCACATATTCCGTTGGAGAAATGGCGCGCGATTCAAATAAAAATTCTATCCAACGTGATCTCTTGTTTAATTGCAGAGTTCTTGTATAAGTGTCACATGAAATCCCGTAGACAAAACGTCGAAGAAACTAACCACTTTATTACAACAATACAAAACCGGTATGAGAAGAGGATTTTTGTGAAAGATAATAAAGGTCATAAAAGCTAGTCCTCACCGCTAGCCCTCTGGCCGTTTGCCTTCCTTACAGAAATGACATCGCAAGCGGGTGTACATTCCGTGGAGCCAACTGTGTGGAGCCGATCATCTTTTCTTTGCCGTAAACGAAAATGGCAAAATTCGTAGAAGTTTGAGATATGCACTGGCTGCAAGTGACCTTTCCGTTACAATAGTTTTGCCGATATCGCACGGTCACGGACTGGTTGATGTCGACAGTTCGGTGTCAGGGGTGAAATGACTGACGGCTTGCCCAGGGCAAAAGTCCTTTTATAGTCAGGGTCCTTGTTTAATTGGAACTCTCCTGCTAAGATCATGGGACAGTACAAAACGTGGACCCCCCCTTTTGGACCCCCCAACTAGATTAAGAAAGGATGAAAACAATAAATACCTGGTGCGACTTAGGAGGTTGTCATCAAAGTGGCATTTCATGTAACAACCATTTTCCTTAATCCTCAAAAAGTGCTACTAGAAATGTTAATTCTCCCATGTGCTATCGTGGGTGCCATTTTGTTTATAAGTTAGAGTGGGGACCTGGGCACAAGGCTACAAAACTTCCAGTGTTTCCTCTGATCAACCACTCCGATCAGATTTTTTCCGCCATTTTGATTGCGTCATCTCATGTCCTTGGCTACCACCGCTGACCAAAAAAATTGTGGTCATCAATACACAGAGCTCTATGGTGGAATGTTAAAGGTAGGCATGGGATTTTTTCACATTTTGTATCCAATCTTGACATTCCTGAAGTCAGTGATAGACAATCACGACATTTTCTTGCCAAACAATCCCACACCTTACCTTCAACATTCTACCATAGAGCTCTGTGTATGGTGTCCACAATTTTTGTGGTCAGGGGTGGTAGCCAAGGACATGAGATGATGCAATCAAAATGATGGAATAATCTGATCCGTTGATCAGAGGAAAAGACCAGAAGTTTTGTAGCCTTCTGTCGAGGTCCCCACTCTAACTTAGAAACAAAATGGATTCCACAATGGCACACGGGAGAATTAAACATTGCTAGTGGCACTTTTTGAAGATTGCAAATGTTTGTAGTAAGAAATGCCACTTTGATGATGACCTCCTAAGTTGCTCCAGGTATTTATTGTTTTCATCCTTTCTTAATCTAGTTAGAGGGGTCCAGAAGGGGGTCCAGAAGGCGTTCCAGAAGGCGTTCCAGAAGGGGGGTTCATGTTTTGTACCATCCCTAGGATCAACTCTTTACTTGTATTTCATTTGCAGGTCAACTAATGACTTTTTTTATTCAGTTTTGGACTTTCATTCTTAATTGATCCTGTAGGACACATGCCTTATGTAACGTGTCCTAGGGGATATTCAAGGGTCAGGGACACATAATGCAGAATTAATAGAATCACTGGTCACAAAAGGTTTATCTCAATCTAACTTGTGAAATTTTGATTACATTGCACAGCTCATCCATGAAAGAGTTAGATTAACATACCTTTCTTCTTGTACTCATTGAATGCTTTCCTATAGTCATTGACTACTTTTCTGCAGTATTGTTTGGCATTGACTTCCTCTCTTCTGTAACATTCCTTGACTCTTTCTTGGTATATCTTCACAGTTTCCAACTCAATGAGCCTTTCTAAAGCCCAACGTTCTCGTGCATTGTAAAACGCCACAGGATCACTGCAGTCAATTTCGTCAAATGTTGGAGATTTCATCCTCTCATCAAACCTCGTCATATACTTCTCAGACATCTTGAAATCTTAGCTGAAATATAAGGGAATCCGTTAGAGAACGCCAAATGGAACACATTAAGAATAAACTACATAAAACGCATGCGTTTCAATGAGTCAAAAAAGACTAATTGTCGCAGTAGAGCAGCGATAAGATTAGCAAAGTACCTAACAAGAGATCGAGTTGACTTTTTTCAAAATTAAAAAAGGATCGGATATTGAGACCTCAAGGTTGTTTAGATGTTTTAGGCTATCATAGAGATTCAGCACCCAATGGGATAATTATAAGGCATTAAAGATCTTTCTTAAGCCTACAAGTTCACTTTTACCTCCTCGTAAGCTGAATAAAACACAAGTCTGACTTCTCTTTTTTTCGGCAAAACCTCTATCAACAAACTCTCCGGACTTAAGATGGCCGATCGCCCGAGAACAGATTGTTAATTCCTTCATGTAAGAGACAATGTAATATCACACACATGCAAAGCTTCTCCACTGAAACTGCACAGTCCTCTCTGAGGGGGACATGGGGTTTACGGTATTGCGGTATTGGGCTTTTCATGCGGTAATTTAAATTTTACCGTGCGGTATTGCGGTATCGTCTAGCCTTGCGGTATTTCATGACGGTTTTCGGTGAAATATGATTGTTTACGGTATTGCGGTAGAGTTTTTTGCGCTTTCCTTTCGATACAATACGCAAAACAAAACACAGTAAGACATAAAGGTCAATAAAAGTTAATATTTAGAAGTCGTTAGACCTAATGGTAAATTATTACACCATTTGTGAGTCATTTTGTGACATTTAACAATGAGATTGTTGTTGTATCCAATGACAATGGTACTCTACCAGAATTCCTGCATCAGAGAGAGTGCGTCGCATTAGACAACCCGGTCACCATCACTTCTGCGCAACATGCAGGTGCCAAGGCCACCGAAAGAGAGGATGCCCCAACAGCAGAAGATGATACAGCAGATGAGGAATTGGTGGATGAGTTCGATCCTAGCAGTGATGAGGAAGTTGAGGAAACTACTTATGAAAGTGCGCCAGTACTTCAAGGAATTCTTCAAGGGGAAATCAGAAGCGCAGCAGACTTCCTCCTTGGTGCACGATCTCGATTTGGCAGAGTTATTCGATTTAATAATCGTCTATTGTACTGAAAGACGGTTGTATTTGTCCGATGCTGCTACAGATAGACTGGCCTACACTTGACCGGAAATTGGGCGATATGCGTGATGACGTATTTTGACTACCACTACCACTACTACCAGAATCCTTTACGATTTTCCTGTTTTGTGCAAGTTAGAGCGTTAAATTTGTTATATAAAGCTTTGGAATGAACAAATTTAATATGAAAGGGAAAACTAAATGTATTCAAGTAGTAGTAGTAGTTGTAGACGGTTCACAGTCCCCTATTTTTCTGTAAGACCGTCGAGATCGAGCGCTTTGCGTTACTGGCGGCCTTCTTGGTTTCATATGTACCGAGGATGCAGGTGTCGGAGATTTTAGGAGGTAACGCAAAGTCTTCCATCTCGATGGTCTCACGGAAAAATAGGGAACTGTGAACAGTCTAGACCTGTTGTAGTAATAATGACGCCATCATCCAAATGCCCTTTAGAAAACCGTTTTAAGGTAAGAGAATTGTTATTCACTATTAGGACTGTGTTAGGGATCACACCTCTCTTCATGTTTTCCGTTTTGTATACTCCTACCAAAAGGTTGACCGAATGAAGTTTACTTTTCAGTGAAAATTTGCGAACTACCAAAATATTAAAAAAAAAAAAAAAAAAAAAAA